TTTTTGACAGAGACACTTCTCTCAAAGATTTACTTTACGTGGCGCCACATCCAAAGGAATACAGACTCCTGTAGCCATGGTTTATCCGACACTTATGCCACTCACATTCCGACATTTAAAAAAAGAGCAGAGCAGCCTGATTGAAGGCAACTTTCGACTCTGATCTCCCTCTCATCTCATCGCGACGTCACTGTGCTCTCATTCGGTTTAAATGCCAACCGCTTAATACAATTATTTCGATGTGGAAACAATAGGCGCACTAACACATTCTTTTGGTGACACCAAGGATGAGGTCACGATTTGTTCATCCGCTTATGATCTGATCACCCTGTGCTCTCTTTACTAACCACAGTAATCAAATATGAAAAAAAAACGTTTTCATTTCATAGTAGGTTTTTCGGGCCATCCCGAAAGTATATTGGAATAACTATAGCTGGTCTTGGGTCGCTAAAATGAAATTATTTTGCTTTCTGTAAAAAAACTCAGGACCCTTATACTCCATGCGTGATATGACTGCTGTTAACGCAGCTACCAATTTATTGTGGCGCCATGAAATCCGCAGAACGCGAAAGGCTGGGAAGGCTGGAGAGGGAGCTGAATGCAGCAACAACCCATGAAGGGCTGTCGCTGGGCAAAAAATCTGTGGACACGGGTCCATGCCCGACATACAGGACTTGAGGTAGGCGTTCAAACATCGGGGCAATTCATTCATTGTTCATGTCGGCACATCTGACGCCAAGTTGTGTGGAGCTGCCAGCTCTCCCTTTAAAGAAAAACTCCTGTGTAATTCAGTAAAAGGGTTTAAGACTTGGTTCCCTGTTAAGTATTCTTGTGTTATTCTAACGAAGTGATGCAAGCATGAATACGCTTGAACGTACTGAGACGGGCAAATAATCACCGTTGAGGCTTAGATTGAAAGGGGGTTGCATATTTGCCGAGGGATGGTGACGACCGTGTCGCGGTCGATTGGAAAGTTGAGTGGGGAGGCGAACTATTCATTATGTTTGAACATGGAAACCTTTCCTCCTAGTTAGTCATGGAGTACTTATGTGAAGTGGGGGACCGAGTTTATAAATTGAATTGATATTGTTGGCTTATTTTGATTCCTGGGTGATCATGATTGACGGACATCTATAGGTAATGTGAAACCTGTTCTTTGACTTTAAAGATGAGGTGATAAGCATTACATTTGGTGAATCGACAGAAAAGTGGTCAAGGCCATAATTTTCTCGGATTTGTTCAGCGGAAAAAGGCGGCTAGGCGACGTCTAGTCTCTGAGTCACTGATTTGTTGCTGGCGAGACAACTTGCAGGTCCCACAAAATAATGAGAAGTCTTGAAGTTGAAGAACTCCGTCGACTTCGTCACCTGTTAGAGGAGCTCTGCTGTTTTGTTGCATGGACGAATAATGACAGGACAGTGCAAGTAGGTGTCGATGAAAGTCAGTAAGAGTCGACGGAGTCACAAGGTCTACCTTCAGTGCAATTTATTTATGGGCAACGAAGACAGTGGTTCCTAACACAGCTTTCTAAGAATTTTTTGAAAGATAGAAAAAAGAATGGAATTGAAAGTGGGATTTACAAGAGATTAATATTTTCAGAGGCATTCAAGTGTTACTATTTTAACCATGGTCAATGGTTCAAGGGCAGCAGTCCAGAAATTAAACTAATCAACACTTGCAATTCTATCATTTCAGGAATATTCTCTGTTTTTATGGGAACAAGCCCCCAAACCCAACAAATGTCAATGTGAAACATTCCCCTCGTTTTTGGTTGTGCGCGCAGTTGCGCTTAGTTTTCTTACCTTTTAAGCGATAACGTTTATCTCATCAGTTCTGTCCGATAAAAATCACGTATCGGTAGATAGGCTTAGATAGGTAACAGCACGTGGTCATTAAGACATGTCGGTGTACTTATTCTCCGTCTATAGTCTACTCATTTTCATCGGTTTTATTTCCTACTTCGTTTTGCGAATCGTTAGAATAATTGTTCAGGTTCCTTTTGGACTAGCAATACTCCACGGCCTAACCTTGTTCCTACGTACGTTTTTATAGTGACTTCTTTCTTGGCACGATATTTTAGGCACTTTTAGAGGCCCTAACGTCGCACAAAAATGGCCCAATCGACGGGTTATTATAGGTTGTTTAAAGTCAACTGCGATATCATGGTTCACCGCATGGCAAAAGTATACAGATCAGGCAACCTAAATGTACATACTGAAAGTCAGAATTTTCGGCATGTCAAGGTTTTGGATCTTAAAACGATGGCGTTTATTCTCACGAAATCCCATAAATTCAAATCGATTCGTCACCGCTTGGATCGTTTAGGTTGTGTTATGTATCTTATTTTTGTTATAGCTTCAAGTGAACGTCGTTCAAAATAACTACGTCTTGTCGCTAGTTGTTACATTGAAACGGACGCAGTCTAGTCTTGTTCAAGTCGTTTCACAATACAGTAGTAAGTTTGTCACCTCCAAACTTCCGTATAGGCATTATGAAGTTGGCTACCACGAGTCCAGAATTGAGGAAATGGATGCATTCTAGATCCTACTAGCATAATTAATTGTAGCATTGGTGAAAACTAATTGCCTTGACAAACTCTTATGTTTCCCGCAAGCAGACCTCACAAGTATAGCCAAATTAGATTTGTCTTATCAGGTATCCTCCTCTCACAAGAACTAACGATTCACCACAGGACTTTCATTGGAAATTTTTATTCCGTCAATCTTCCATTTAAACGTTGGTGTTGGCGAGACTACAGCTCCACACAAACACCATCCAATTACCCATTTTTACAGACGTCGACCGTCATTCATCGATCACTAACGACTGCTGGAGATGATTTTATAATTGTACCTTGCCACCTGACACCTTGCCATACAATCCAAGAGTATAATATTTTGATCTTATGGTCAGATGCTTTTATCACGATTCCACCTTCAAGTCTTCGGAAAAACTTCGCTGTTTCTGTAGGAAGAGGATGCTGGTTAAGACTGGTTCACTTTTTCAAAAAAACGTGCATTCCTCATTGGGAAAATGTCAGACTTACACTTCTCCTTCTGCCAATGCTTTGGGAAAGTCCTAAAGTCGTCCCAAGTAATCCCTTACCCAAAGCATGACTGAGCAAGTAGTGGCTGTCTTTCATTAAGATTTCAGCAACATTAGCGGTCTCCGGATCTTTTTAGTATCTCGTTTCTGTCGATACTATCCAGTTCGGTCCACATTTGATCCTGTTTTGATAATCCCTCTTTTATTAATATGAGAGAATTGGAAAAAAATACTCAACATACAAAAAGGCATATTGTGTGTTGTGAGGCCAGGTTTCGCCACAAATATTTTTTCAACCTCCTATTCTGGCCCTGTCATGTCAGCTACCTCGTATTCCCCAAAATCCAATTATTTGCCTGTTTAGTTGCTTCAAACAGGATTGATTGACCCTTATTTACGATTTCCATGAACTATAAGCATTCTGTTTAACTCGTTAATCAAATTTCTGGGTACGTGGATTCGGCAACTTTGAGGTTGTATCGGTTATAACCAACATTTTATGCGTTCTTGGTTCTGGTATCATGTTATCTTCCCAAAATGTTACCGACATCCACCTTATTAGAATATTAGAATAAACTTACATTAGAGCGTTGACTTAAGAATGCTTTCTTTCAACTGAATTTCATCTGTGGATGACGGTTCACGCAGCATAATTTATCGTTTATTAATATCAAAAATCAGGAGATCCAAGATATACCTGTCTCATAAAAACGAGGTGTTATCTGTCATCAGTATTAAATTTTGCATTCTAATACATTCTTTAGCACTAGAGCTATATCCTATCGACGAATTTTTAATGATGGCTATATTGATTCATCAGTTCACGGGTGTCACCTGGTACACAAGTTGTCATACTACTTAACTGTGCGTAATTAAGCTCTCTTCGAAAATTGACCTTGGGCATTTTAAGCGGAACTTAATTTCAGTAGTTTTACCGATTTAATTTAACTTCGCAGGACCTAGATATTTGGAAATTCTTACATATTAAGTAGGATTAATGTTCTGACGTGCTATAGAGTGGGAGATCACCGCTCTTATTAACTCCTTTGCTTATGACCTGTCGTAGTAACTGGACTGTGAAATGAAGCTCCTTGAAACATTTTCTGCGGGGCTTCAAGTCATGTGGTCAACGTTTATCTACCTGGGGACGGTAATATCTTGGTAATATTTCTAGAAACCACGCATTTTGACCCTCAATTGGATTTGTTAAACAAGGCGATCTGTGCTTTCAACAAGAGCTAAACCTGAGATTTGGTTTTTTTTCAAGTTTTAAGTATGGTTTCACTCCATACCGAAAGTGAACGAACACATGTGGTCAAGGAATTGCCACTCCATGTACGAATCTAGTATAGCATGATGTCAGTAGAGGGAGCCTGCAGGCATAACCACATTCTCTCCTGTGCGCTCCAGAAACCGCATTTCCTCACGAATGATGGCACTCCTTTCTTCTGGAAAATTGTCGAGAATAATGGTACTTGTGATGATAGGTTTTCCGTCGGCATTTCGCCTCTACCTTGAAGTGTATCTGGGCTGATCGTAAAAAAAGCCCCTACAGAGGAGGATGCACCTGCTTGCATGGCTGGTCACGTGTTGTGAACGATGGCGAAGTGGATGCTCCCGGTTTCGCAAATGCGGGCACCTGGTTCAGTGTGTGTTTTGTAATTAGAAAGCTGAGCCTTACTTCCGCCTTCTTAAATTAATACTTGTCCTGGTCCTTGGACTATGCTTCACGATCAAGGCCAGTTGTCAATTACTTCACCAAGCTAAGCAAAAATGCTCCTCTTCAAATTTACCTTTTACAGGAAAGTGAGTGTGAAGGTAATGACCGTCGATGGCTTCGTTTCACTCTTTCATAAAGCAGTAAAAATAGAACATTTTTGGGTACTCAATTCGTTGTTCGTGCTTTACCACCTTTGAAGTGAGTACCAGACGACGTGTCGCCCAGAACACGTAGTATGGAAGGCAAAGTGTGTCCAAAGTATGGATCACTTCTGTGTTCCTTAAGTAAGTGAGTCAACATTTTGGGAATGATGTACCCTCATGACAGCAACGAGGCCTAAATATTATTGGTTCAAGTGGAGAGTCCGTCTATTGAGATCTCCTAAAGGGGATGATTAGGGCTAATTTTGAAGCGCTTTAAAGCCTCGTCATTTTTTCCACTATAAAATATTCCAATTCAACATTGTAAACAAGCTCGCTGGCGCGACACAGTGCATGAGTACCCAGTGCACACATTTGACCTTCTTAAAAAGTTAGAAAAGATGCCATTTTTAAGGACATCTACCATATAGTAAGTCACTTTCCACACTGTTTTACGCCCACATCGACAGTTACGTTGTGGGGTTACAGGCGCGATGTCTCCTCCCGTTTCAATGCTTTGTTTTACAGTGTCAAAAAGTATGACGTGTAGCTATGTGTGTGTGTGTGAGTACGGACTCAACCACGATCTCACTATCTCCACAAAGCTGTGCGCAATAAGAGCAATACACGGATTGTTGAAACGGCACAGAACCAAACAAACTAGACACTGACCACATAACAGTGAAGTAAGGGAGTCGATGTTAAAATTTTATAAAGATACCTGAAAAGACGAGAAAAGTCAACGACACATGCTGAGTGCTACAACACAATTGTTTGTTGCATAAGCCTCATCAAAGTAATAACTCACTAAACAGTGCGACGAAATGTTTCTGATTTTACATTAATACATCATTCAAAGTTGGTGGATATGGAGTACTTGTAAAAATAAAATGTCTTTTGCTTGTTAGCAAATCATATTTACTTCGGCCTATCTGTTGCCTGGAGCTAGTTTTTCCCTTATTTATGTTTCGATTGTTTAACGGCCTCGGAGGTCACTCAAGACTGCTTGGAATAAATGTAGCTACGTTTAAAGCCCTACCTTCAAGTGTTATTTCATTTAAACACCTTTTACCAAAATTGTATCTTGGCTGCCTGCTAACTAATGTGAGGTAGATAACAGTTTGAATTAAACGGAAATGCAATTTAGTACACTGTACCTTTATTTAAGAAGCAAATTTTAAGCGAAATCGATTTTTGGTCACGTTTCTATTATTGTCAAATTTAGTGGCAATTTGATTCACATAGTTTCACACATGAGAGTCCTGAATAGGCATAATTGATGCAAAAATTTGAGATCGGTTTTTTATTTGAAACTGACAAAGCAGTTTTTCGCGACTTGAACCAATTAGTATGGCACTCGTAATGGTTTCTAAACCCGCTAGCTCCTACTCCCTCATTAGTGCTTCAGTGGGCTCATTTCACTTCCCCCTGTTTCCTAAGTGCGTTTACTTTGCCCAACTATGCACTAAAGTGAGCATTGAATTAGTGGTTTCCATTTGTGTGTGCATCTGTTGGTCCCCTGAAGACCGTACCCACAAAAGTCGCCACGATGTGGTGATCTACCGGTGTCTCTGGTTCTGGCCGAATGAAAACAAAGCACCAATGGGAAATAATTTGTGTGAATCTTTCGCTCAAAATGCGACAGCTCGAACGACATCCTAGCTGCTATGCGAGCTGTCTTAGTCTCCGTGGCCCATACTTGTTGTTACGACCTTAGTCCAAGAAAATGACGCTTTGGATTTTGAATCAAGAAATACACGCAAGTAAAGTACGCTTGATTTGTTCATGAGGTTTATTTCCTCCAATCCGTGGAGCCACTGAAGTGTTCGATGTCGTAATTTGTCACTAAATTTAAAACTACAGGAGTATTACGAAGACCTTGTTTTATTTTCATAGGAGCCCCCGATCCTACAGCAGGTGGGGGCGTTAACGACTCGTCGACTTGGTATTTCGATGAGTCTGGAGTCCGTGAACAACTGCGACTTGACCTTGCCGCTGTAGCAGCATATGGTATGGCATCTTATATTGGAGTCTCTGCAGCTGAACTGAACTCCCAGACCGTTTTAGGCCCACTTTCCACCAATGGAAGACTGTTCAATAACGGTAACGTCGACTTGCCAAGGCATCGATTTAACCGTTCTTCGCGGCACTCCATGGATGATGAGGAGGTTGGTGAGGAAGCAGCAGCAGCAGCATCCGCAGCAGCATCAGCAGCAGCCAAACACCGACACTCTGGTGGGTTGTCAGTGTGAAGCTCTTCCCCTTCTCTGCCCGCTTAAATCCTCCTACGCATGCTCCTCACCCATTACACTAGCTTCCTGCCTCCCTGCCACTTCTAATTTTTCTTCTTTTACTCCTGTGTTTCCCTATTTTCAAACTGCATTTTCGTCTGCTTTTGCCCTTAACCAGTCGCCTAATCAATTCACTCTTCAACCATCAAATAACGATTTCCCAATTCTCCTAAGCATCCCTCAAATGAAGTCTTCTTTAAGATCATGATCAAGCCATTCCCAATTCCCCTGCATTTCTTTTTTACCTATTACTAATTCTTGATCAGTTCGATTGAACACATGTTATCGTTATTATAAAATGATCCCTTTCTAAGTAGTTAACTGTTAAGTAGCCTGTTAAACTGCGTCAGCTTGGCTTGTAGAACGCTTGAGAAAGCAGACATGCTTGCTTGCGTTTATGTGGTTGCGATGTGCATCCTTTCATTTTCACCCAACTCAACATCATCTGCATTTCTTTCCCGAAACTCACGCTTTTACCGATCTTCCTTTTGCTTTTCGTCTTTCCCACAAAGTAACTTCACACAGGGTCCCCAAGTAATTGCTCACAAGCGTGGATCAGATGCTAGTTAAATGACAACTTCAACTATTTTACCGTAGTTTCAAGACGACCTTCAACGGGCCACCTTTTGGAAAATAAAGATATAATTCGTACAAATTTGATAATAAAATGGAATTGAGTAAGGAACTCCTGTACTTCGACAAGGCAGGAAGTGAAATGTGAATCCATATACTGCTATTTAAACAATAAATTGCACATTACTATGGCACAAATACTTCATCAGTGATCCCTATTTACACTTTTGGTGCTGCAGACGCCAAGTAATCGGATGAAGCCAACTGACGGAATAAAAAGCCGAGTTGATTTTGAAGAGTGGGCTGCTTGAGTGCCAGCGTCACGTAATATGTCCCACTGAAGGCGCTTTCAGGGCCATTTATTTTAGCTTGTGGCCCAAAATCTCTAAGAAGTCGAGCAGATTAGCTCTACTGGCAGCATACTAGGTAGCTCATATATTTAAATTAACAATGTGCATGGACAATGAAAAATTCCGTCCCCCATCAAACTTAAACACAATCGAAATACACCTGTATGCCACGGGTTATCTCAATTTTGTTTCTTCCTCATGTCTCTTGCGGCAAGGGTTGCACTTTTTCTTTGAGAGATATCTTTTGAACCCAAGTGCCACACTCTAAGCCTCATGGGCATTTTCTTGTAGGTCCTCGTTCGTTTGCTCAGCTTTGGCTAGAAAATTATCGTTATCTTCAACGTGCCAAACTGCCACCGTTCGGTTACACGCTCTTTTCATTGTCAACTGCCCCTACCAACCTCCCTTCGCCACCGTCTTCCACGGTCCACGGAGTCAATGGACTTTCTCAAATGACTAATCAGTCAGCGAGTACTGGATCGCCAAATGCCAGTACCGTTTCGACCTTTCCATCCCCGAATCCCTCCGGATCCGGCCCCTCGCCCTCGTCTCACCATGTCCCCGGCAGGCAAGTGGCCATGGTGTTCGCCAAAACCTACGAACTCCTGGCTGCCCGTGACACAAACGGCCCTCGCCTTTTATCAATCATTACGGAAGAATTGCTCAATTCCGCTAATTTGGTGGTAAGTAGAACTCCATTTGAACCTCCTATAATCAAAGCAGAAAGAACGCATACAACTTTCTAGGTCAGTTATTGCATCTTGATGCAAACCAGAATTAATTCATACCGCTTATTCATACAGTACTTCATGTGCCCGCTGATGTAACCCGACTCTTTGGTCCGCAACTACTTATTATAATCAACCAACTTCTTTGGATTCAAATTACTTTATTGTTTCGTTCTGTGTTGGTGCGTGTTCGTAACTGTCTTCAACCCGTTAACTACACATGCGTGATTAGTTACCCTTACATGCGCCAGTCACGCTCAGTGAATGATGAAATTAACTTCTAGTTAAGGTCTCTGTTTCTTCCGTTGGGTAGAAATGTATATTTATTTTATGGTAAACCTGCTCGCCAACTTTTCAAGCCGTAGATATGTTGGTCCTCATTTAACACCCAGCCCTCTGTTAATGTGCTACTTCATTGAATTGAAGTAAGCGACGATTAGCACTCAGTTCTATGCACACCACGAACCAAATTTGATAATCAAGTAGCCAATTAGTTCGCGACTCCAAAGCTACTCTCAATTTCTGGCCCGCTTCTAATTCTCATTGGGTTATGAATTTCCATGTCGGGTGCCTTTGTCTCTTGTGTCCGTTTAATCGAAGTCAGTATGGAGTTTTTCCGACAGTACGTAAGTCAAGTTGTGGCTATGGTATTGCCGAAAGCCTTTTTCCCCAAATAATTGGCAAGGTTTGGAGTTTAAAATCTAACTGAAGTACAAGATCCCATTTGATCTGTATGTTTACATAGACGGCGATACAATCATAGATCATAGTCAAAGAGAGCTTTTCGTGCTAGGTCACAGGGGCGTTCACTAAGTCTCTGAAGTTTAAGGTGGTTTCCGTGCTAGTAAGGCACGACGCACAAAATAAGGTTGTACTTTTAGACTTTGATGTACGCCTGCTGTCCGTGAAGTAGCACTGACAACGTGGACAGTTGCATTTATCATGGCGTCAATGAACTGGCTCGGTTGACTGAACCGAGATCTTGACAGTACACCCATTTAATGTACAAACTTATATGAGGTGTTCGCGAAGGGTTATTGCTTGGCCCTACTTCCCGCATGTTCCAGAATTTCTTAAAAGTAGCCAATTATCTTTAACTGAGAGCGTTAGGGGGATGTTTGGGACCGATTTCGACTGGATCTAGTATTAAAGTAATATTTAAAACGATGTTAATAGAGGTCACTCAGACTTTGGTTCTGAGTTACTTGGGCCCCCGATAGAACCCCATACCAAAGTGCCGCTTTATCTGCAGGCGACACTTAGCGAATCCTTAGCTTTCTCATGTGTGGAGCACAAATAATGTCATAGTAAGAGGATATCGGTTGTTCTGAACGGAATTTTTCGGATCAATGTCTCCTTGTCGCGACCCCTCGATGAAAATCATTGGACACATCTACTGACTGATTCGTGACTGCTGCGTTTTTAGCTTAAATGCCCAACCTTTAAAGCCCCTCTTCTGCAAGAGATTACATCTCGACTTTTCATTTAAAGGCCCAATCGTTATATACCTACCGCTTCTCGATTTCATGTCATTTTAAATGTATTAATGTCAACAGTTGTTGTCTTGTTTCCTAAACGGTCTTTACAACCACATTACAATATTTTTTGAGTGGATAAGTTAACTTACTGATGTTAAATTGTTGCTTATCCAGACGAATAGATTGTGTCAAAGTAATACGGTCGCAAATTATCACAGTGTTCAACTTTTCACAAATTATTTGTTCCAATAAACGACGGGCTGACCAATTTACTTTAATCATCTCCACGTAAAGGCCTTGTCCCATCAAGAACCATCTGTCACATTGTGTTGTGGTAACTCTCGGCTTTGCTGCCGTACATTTTTGAGCACCATTCCAAACGTGTAAAGCTGATCAAAGAGCAAACTTGAGACCTGGTATGCCCTACTGGAACTTTATTACAGTCCCAACTTGCTCTTACCCACACACTGTCAAACCGCAAAATTGACCACTCAAGTCAAGAAAGTTCCCAAGCTTGGAATTAAATCATGTTTAATAAAATACTCAAAGCATCTCTGTTAACCATTCATTCTCCTAATGAGTTTAATGAGTCTCTGGGAGAGTTTGAGTCAAAGGACTCGGAATTTGAGTAGATGCGACCACTTAATTGCCTCCCACTTTGTAAACATTAAATTCTGATGTATTTGATTTGAGTCCAATCTTGTGCCAGAGACTTGGACTATAGCGCTTCAGTCTTCTTCAAAACCCATGATTGGCCTTGTTTCTGAGTTTGGGCGATATTACATTTGACTGCTTACTGAATACCTACTGCTGCGACAGAGGTTCAGGTCGCAAAATGATCACAATAAACTCAGGTACACTTCCTCATGCATGTTTGATGTAGCATTTTCTTGGTAAGCAGAAACAGGAGCTAGTGTCAGTTTTCATGACAGACGAAAGTCAAATTCATTCTGGGTGTCTGCGGAGCGTAAGTTTGGGTATTGATGTGCGTTTCCTCTCACCATGACAATCGAGAGATTTGTTAATTGCTCGAGCCCTGTGATTGGCCAAGTCTGCTGGGTGGTTGTGACTAAGTCGCCAGCTTAATATGGTCAATATTAAAGTTCTACTTAAATTTTAACGGTCCCCACTTTTGGAGAAATGAGAATTTATCGCAGGCAAATCTTACTGACGGCACAATTGCTCCCCACAGGTCAGTCTGTCCACGAGTGAAGTGTTATGTGTTCATAATCACACCAAAAATGCCACATTCTTCCGCCTAATCGTGGCAACATTTTAAACTCTTGGATTGTAAGTATTACAGCCAATCAAGCTCAATTTTCAGGCGGTTAGAGACCGGTCGCTAAGCCACTATTAAATCAAGCAGTTTCTTGGGCTTCCTCAACTTCCCATTTTAATGATTGGTTGCTGGAACTGGTTTTTATTCCTTCCATAAAATACAATGGACCATCAAAGACAGTGATAACTGTTTCAATATTATTCAATCTAATCATAATCGTCCTTAGCCAAACTTCGTGTTGTGTTCCAAGTAACGTTGCAGTCATATTTTTCTTCATATTGTCTTATCACGCTTAGTTTATTTGCCTAAACATACTAATTTAGACCAACACAGGTCGAGGGGTGTGTAGAACTTGAATATCTGATAGACTACACCTCCTCAGAAAGTATAAATAGAAACGCAACACAGCCTAAGCTTTAGTTAGAGCCTCAAACGTTTATGAGTTGTTAGTCTTATTGTGGAGCGTCACTCCACTCATGAATCTGGTCTGTCATCAGCCCTTTCCCCCCTCCTGACACTGTGTCCGTGCATATTCCCCTCACACCAAAAAACATCTCCGAACCAAGTACCTTCGAAGTTCTCCTAATTTCTTCTCAAGAAAGAGAGAGAATGGCTCTTGAATTGTGTGCAACATTTAGGAGTACCGACAGCGATTGTGCTTGGTGATCTCTTGTTCATGCAGAATGAAATTCTCTTCTTTTAACTCATCGACTAGCTTTTGTGGCTGTGGTGTATATTTTTAACTCGTGCAATTAGAAATCTGAATGCTAATGATGCTGTTTCGCAGCAATTTTGACATGAATAGCTCTGGGTATCTAGCTACGTCTTTATCGTCACCTTCCCTTTTCCAATGATGTCCTTAAATGTCAGGGTCTTTCGGAGTAACCTCTTAGCCGTAATTAAATAAACACTTATCTAAGCTGAGCCAGTAGTAACATTTGAGCTGCTACTTTTTTGCATCTCGTCTCCGGGAATCTGCTAGGCTGGCGACCTTTTCAGAGAGTTCACTCCTCGTGTTAACATTTAATCTTGATACGGCGTCAGGCTGCTGGCTTTTTCCATCCACTAAATGTCACCATGACTACTACTCTCTTTCGAAACGGTTATACTGTATTTAGGAAAACTTTTCCCTTGAATGCGTCGGTTGCTTTCTCAAAACCCTTGCAGCAACATTTGTCCCTCTGGTTTTATTTTTTTGTAATAACGAAGAATTTTAATGTCCAGTTGTTACGTGAAAACTATTGTAGACTATAATGTCTCTAGTAACATTGCCTCGTCTCAACAGTAACGAAAGCTACGCGACCTACCGGATGTTCAGTGTTCCAGAGGATAATGTTTCTCATGTGTACAACATGGTGTTCCTTGTCTCCGGAACCTGATTACCCAGCACTACTTTAGTTTTGCTTTGTTTAACAAGGCCCACCTCAACCAGTCAGCACAATTGTCGAATCCCAGCACGTTTGTGGCCTCTAAAACGGTAATGGAATCAATAAGGATACGTCGAATATCGAATACCGGCCACAACGATAAATATATTGGCAGGAATTCCTCACAGTCTGTCACCAAACAGACATGGTTTTGTACAAGAAGACAATAGCAAATGCCAACTGCTAACGTTTTACTGAACAGCTTGTTAACAATTATTATGAAAAATTGCGTATTTATTCCAGACATTCCCTGACAGTGCTTATTTGTACGTGGTTCGTATCGCATATGTTGTTGATGCCCTCAGATTGCTTTTCGGATGGGGAAAATTCATGAATGCAATGTCCTTGAAAGCCTGTTTTTGGAATTTGATTCTAGGTTGTCCTCTCAATTTGTCAATTGTAGTTTTGGCTCAAAAACCTTTTTGCTTAACAGACTTTATTCATTCATTTTTAATTTTTTTTTCACTAATTGTGCTAACTTCCAGCATATTATATTTCTCGTAGGACCTCAAAGGACGTAGAAATTATCGTGATGGATCACCTCCAGATCGTGGAAACTGGGATTCCTCAGTTGGTGACTTGGACGAGGATCCAGACGAGCTTGACGACCAAGATGCCTCAAATCGTCCGCAATCCACCACAACCTCGGCTTACCAACCCCCACCGAGTTGGGCCATTCCTCTATGGGAGGAAATCGCTCGACTTTGGGCCTGCCTCCTTCTTTCACCTAGCATCCCATCTTCAACCCGTGATAGTTGGCGCGAACGTCTTACCTCTTGGTCTATGTCTCCACAAGCTCCACGCGATGATATCTACTTTAATCCACCTCCCACCAACCCTATGGCGGCTGAAAATCTCACTTCTGAGGCTGTCAGCACCCCACCGCTCATTCGGCCACCGAGCCGGACGACAGTCGATCCAGAACCTACATCCGTGTTTCAGTTAGCGCTTGATGTTAGTGCTCTGCCAGTGGAAGTGGCGGAGGAATTTCCTGCAATACCAAGAAACGCCTTGGCTGACCTTGCGCGGACACTCCCAGCGAATGTGCGCCAGTGCACCTGCCCCTACTGCGGCGTTTCTCCGGTGATTGAGCGTGCGTGGGGTTTGAATGAGAACTTTGTTGCATCCTGCCTCCGAGCTTCAGCGCTTCAGTTGACGGGCTACGGGGAAGCTGCGACACTCCTTGCGGTGGCACTAGCAAACGCCCTCCTGGGATGCTTGGAGGAGGTTGGGCGAAGGGGTGCTGCGGCGGGCTGCATTTCATTAGGGTCCTGTTCACCGTCACCGACGCCACCGCCACTGCCCCCGCCAACACAGAGCTTTGCACGATCGAATTCAGGCAGCTCAAGTGAGTTTTTTTCTAATCAACTTTATCGCGGATGATGTTGTTATTCATAAGTCATCTTTCTAGGCTTTACGTTTAGCTCAAACTCGTCTCGGGGGTGCAATAAAGACAATTACTATTTGACCACATTTGAAATTGGCCCGAGTCAACGAATTTGTATTCCCATTTACGAATGCTTGAAACAGTCGCTACGGTGTTGTATCATGCAAGCGATAAAATCTAGTGAGCCGCAGTTCTACTTGTCATCCGTAAAATGTGTCATCGTCACTTTGACCGAAAAAATAAGTGACAGCGAATTCGTTTTAAATTGACTGAGATATTTTAGTACGTCTGCCAGTCTCGTTCTCACTTCATCTGAGTATGATCTGTTAAAAGCTTTGCAACGAACTCTTAATGGCGTAGATCTATTGGATTGTGACATTTGTCACAACTACGAAGACCAGTTTCCTGCTGCAAAAAATTTCAATACATCAGCTACCTAAAAGACGAGGTGAATTATATGCTAAAACTCAACACATTCGGAATCAGGATAGAGAGCACAGTTTATTTACGTTTTGGTCCAATTACATGCATAACTGTGATGAGTGTCCACTTCATCAACGTAAATAAAGAAACATCTTTATTTACACTTTGTAGCTATCAAATTTTCTCACCACCATTTTTCCACTATGTTCCTCCTCCATGCTAGTAGGATTGTGGTGATCATTCTCCTTTGACCGACATGCTAAAAATCATTTGTGTCTAACATAATTGTCCCATCACTGGATGCAGTAACATACAAAATCTCCTTGTACGTCACTTGTGGCATGAATTCGGATAAATAGCATTTTCTACCTTTAGTATGTAATTCAGTGTCTTGATTGGAAGCGGTAATAATCTAGCTGGCCAATCAGGGGTGATTTCCCGTCGTTTCAATTCTTTAAAATTGCCTGCATTAGTTATTCGTCATGCTATACCAAACGTCGACATAGATGCAAGGGTTCATTCTATCGTATAACTCACAGTAATGCATACATTTAGCTACATATTTTGTAAAATTAGAGACGATTTAGAAGTAGACACGCTTTTCAAAAGCGATTAGCTGCAACCAATCGATCACTACTAACACCAGATAAGTTCGAATGTATTGTTTACAGTCAAAGTATTTTGCGTAGAGCGCCAATTGTGGGATGACCGAAGCTCAAACCGCCGCCCATGAATCACGCCAGATCAGTAAAACAATAATAGACCAGGCTAAATGTTGTAGCAGCTACAGGCATATTTCCAAGCCCAGTTCCAACGCCCTTGTCAAGGTCCACTAGCAACCGAGAACCGGTTCACCAGAACTTGTCTCCCTTTTGCCAACTTATCTATTCCTCTCTGTCATGTTTCACCATTTCCTCCACTACTGTGTCCTTTTGGGTGGTATTTAATTAACAATTGTGATTGCAAAAAATTGTTTCGTAAGTGGTTTTTGGGGCCTGAACTGGTCCAAGTACCCACAAGACATCCAATGTCCTCAGTTTCTACGATAACTCAGGTTATTGACCTCTATCATGTCCACGCTTTCCTTTCAACAAGAGAGGACTGAAATGTGAGAAGGAAGTTTCAGTTTCCATCGACTCATCTGTTGAACACCTGTCATTCCCACGGGTCCTGTTCAGCGATGCGCGGGTGTTGTGCCGAACACAAAATGCGCTTTGTCCCGTTTGCTCTCGCGGTGGTGATGGCTTGTAACGTTCCAACACGTGTTTCCCATTCCTCCCGGGGACGGGAGGGGAGGGGTCCAGTTATTTACGACCGATTGCTCACTGAGGTTTCGTGGGACCTGGACTGAAACCGACGATGCCAGGGTTGTGGTTCACTTCCAAATCCATTTTCGGCATGCTTACTCTCACACCTCAGAGAAATAGATGGAAGTTAGAATGGCTTGTGATATGGCGTATTCGAGTAATACAATGAATTTGACACTGTTATGTGGGATTTTTAAACACTTTTCGCTAGGGGCTAGTATCTTTTGGAGCCACTTTCAACATGTAGTTGTGCATTTAGACTGATTGACTTCTATCCTACTTAGCCTTTTCCATATGTAACAAGGGATATTTTTGTCAATCCATGCTTCTATAGAGGCTAAGCATTTTCCGAACTTCATGTCCTCATTTCGCAATATGTGGATCACCGGATGGAAATCCGAGTAACAAGCTTTGGATGCTGATCAATCGTATGGTGTTACTCAAATAAGTGAACCGATTCTTATTGGATACTTTTTTGTAGACAAGTCCGGCACTCTCTCCTCTTCTCTCATCGTAAACACTTCTTGTGGGGGAGGTGGTGGGCCTACGCGGGGTGGCTTCAGGAGCCCTCCACCGCCGCCGCCTCAGCACTCGTCGCCCTACCACCAACGCCACTACCAGCATCAACATCCTTACTTTTTTTACTCTTCTCCACCTTCTCCATCTGGACCACGCACTTATCCTTATCATCATCAGCAAGCCCGATATCGATGTTCGCCGTGGCAACGCACGCCCCCCAGGCACGATCAGCAGTACCTCCTTTGTGCCTCCGAGGCTTCCGTTGACTGCCCCTTTCACGAGTGCGGATGGATTGGGATGCCTGGACGACCAATCATCGGTCTCGTTGAATGCCTTCTTGAAGCGGCAGCAAATAAAATACAGGATCCTGGGCGGGGCGGCCTCTCTGTGAACGATTACTTGCACCTAGCTTTGAAGGTTAGTAAGAGAGTGTCTCATTTCTGTGGTATTCAAAGCTACTTGTCGACTCTTGTCAGTGCATGGTTTCTGAAGTAGAAGAAGGTGAATAAAAAAATCATTGTAAAATCAACTGGAACGACTATTTTGTGGGCACACTATATTCAACATAAATTCCTCCGGTTTATTTTGTGTGTTACTACGTAAACTAACTTTACAGTCATGCTTTAAGACGTTCCCGTTTAAAAACCGTGTAAATACTTTTCCTTCTGCTTCCAATGCGACTGTTTTCAGGGTTCTAGCTTGCATGCGTTGACTGCCGACCACTCAAGATGCTGCCGATGCTTGCCTTGCACATTGTTTGGTTGCACAATATGATGACCCTACACTCATTGAAATAAAGAATGAACAACGATAGCTGAGAGCTGTCTTTTAATGCCAAAAGAAGGAAGTTTGGAAATATTACGGAATTCTTCTGTTTCGAAACTATCACTCTCAACTCAATGTTTTGCTTTTTTTGAAAAAAAAGACCGCTATGAAATGCCACGATAACATACAAATCCGCAACCGGCCATCCAATTATTACCGAATATTCTTGTACAGTGGGAACTTGTGACTGAGTCGCTCTAGCCACCAGGACTTGACTTCCTTGTGTCCATCTGGCACCACGTCCAGTCGTGAGTCTAAGCCTCTGTTGTTGGCTTCGAGAGGGGTTCACTGAAGGGTAGCTCCTGTGTCCTTTTGTTCTTTTAAACAAAAGCGTTCCTAGACATCCCCGTTGCTAAGTTCTTAGCGTTAACAGAGGGTAGTGGGATATTTAATCAGTCTAAAACCACGTGCATGCGCGAGCGGTAGAAGTCACGTACCATTTAAGCAGGAGAAATAGGACACAAGGGGGCAACTGTCTTCCAGGATAGACAGGAGCGCCGCCGCTATTAGCGCTGATAGCATCTCTGCTTTGTGAGTCATTGCAGTCAATTTATTACTGGCTTCCGCTCTCAACTGTAACGATTTTAGGAAGAGGCAGGCAGGAAATGCCCGACAGTCTAGGCAACGCTATGAAAGCGTGCGTGACTGGACTGATGATGGCTTGTGTGTTTGTTAAAATTTCCTCATTTTATTCTCTCCTTCTCGGCCACTTCCAGTGGGTCAATAAGCACGCTTCGCATTTAAATCCCACATCGCCTGAGAGAGAGTCATTTTTACGTGCTTGCTGGATATTCGGAATGATGGGTAAATTCACATGTGTTAAAGGCTTTTTGGTCTGGCAAATATTGTTGCTGATCGGTAGACTAGAAATATAGAGCTGTGTGCATCTGTTGGTTCTACCTTTGGTAACCTACAAACACCATGCTTCGTTCAACCAGTTACGAACTTTCGTTTTAAGCACTGTTTGTGGACCATGTTCGCTTTCAATGGTACCCCTGACAAATCGCCGCCTCGGTATCGAAGTTGTTTCCTGTTCAGATGGAAGTAGTGTAGTAAAATGACGGCAATTCTGAAATTTCTTATTGCATGCCACCGTGATCGGTAAACAGTGTGGAACTGCTGGTGGAAAATTGATAGGAGTACGCAACCTCAGCTCCCTAAACGGCCTTTCATTTAACATTCGTTTAAAACTATGTCAAGGAGTCAATATACTCCAATTCTCTAGCCACTGACTATTTTATGTCCCGATTGTAGACTGTTCCAAAATTCGAGTTAAATTTTTGGTAGACCCACGAAACTCCTTTTTTCGGACTCGTTTGACCATTAATGCCTATTCTAAATGTCTTACTCGTGTAAAAAGCACAGCTCGAAATTTAATTGCCTTATTTTCCCATATTCCACCCATTGATTATTGCCTGACTTAAGTTGGCTTTGCACCATGTCCTCTTCGTTCAAGCCTCCTCTTAAAGCTATCGGCATCGGGCTACCGCTAGGCTTTGCAAATAGTCAAGCACCGACTGTATAAGTTGAAATGCTTGTTCAAAGACACTAATAACCTTCGCCCTAGCCATGCCCAAGCGGTGATTTGGTAACCCCGCTTATAAATTGCAAGTAGTGAGTAGCATTTGACCGCAGAGGTCGTCATCTAAAATGTTTTCTTGTTAATGCAGGTGACATTTTGGGGAATAAATGATTTTCCACTTTGTATCCCTCGGTAAGAAGCATCGAATGGTGATATATATTGTCATGTAAGGAGCAGTAACTGTTCTTCATTATAATCCTCATTTTGCCCTTGTTTAAGGCTGTTCCTGTTTTCTTTTATCCATGATCTTGCACTGCAGCTTACCCTAACTTCCATTCCTGTAGGCTCCCAGCAGACATGAACTATTGTTCACGTCTTTTTTCTGATTCCCGGGTTTGTCTTAGTTTTGTCTGGTTGCCAAAGTTTCCGTGTTTGGCCAGAAGGCGGAAGTCTGTGTTGTTCTTTTCATGTCCACTGAACAACGCCGTTTGAACACCACTCACTTATGTGTAGTGCAATGAAAAACTGGCACTTGCTCCTCATGGTACTTCAAAACCTACCACACTTGTGGCCCAACTAATCCCTCGTTTGCCTTCGCTCCCTAATTACTAGCGATCTGTCCTCAGAAGCTCTGTATTAAAACTATTTTGGTGCTCTAGGGTAATATGAGGGCCAGGAGATAAGTCATGAATTATTTACCAATGTCGACTCACGTTGTCTGCTGACCATGCGTAATTCGGGCAAATTTTTCATTGGCGCACTATTCTAAAGGCATGAAAAGGTAGGAACAAAAGCCCGTTACTAGAGTTAAAGCTGATTTCATGGGCCTTAAATTCACCTCTGTTTACCCACCATAACAACGGTCCAATTCAACTACCCGAGCACAACATTCTCTCCTTAACGATCTTTCACCCCTCTTTCCTCCCAACGTACTCGGGCAAACACATCATCTGCTCAAACTGTCATTCACTTTTTCATATTATCGTGGTAGATGCGTTCTGTGTTGTCGGCGCCACCTTATCAAGAGTCCCTTTGCGAATCAGATATTATTGCTAAGTTTTTAGCAAAGACATGGCTGAGGGCACACAAATCACAGTAAGTGCTTTTGAAGCCGTTTTGGTTCTTCCCCTTTTCTTTCACCTGCAACTCACGTGTTTAAAGGTCGGCAACCTAGGTGCTTGTTTGATGCTCGTTTTGACGTACGGGAGGTAAAAAAGCGTCTTTTCAAGGTGCATTCTACTTATGCGAACATCCAACCGATGGTTTCAAATTCGACGACGAATCCTGCGTTGTGAGGTTCGGCATGAATTGGGAAAAGGAAAAGGCAGTCCAGATTGAATCCAACCTGGCCAGCGAAATGGCATTACTTTGAACTATGGATGTATAATCAACAAGGGGCTCAGTGATCCATGCGGATGTGTCCTATTGAAGGTACTTTGAGTTGCCCTGTGAAACCCTACAACTGGTTGGTTCGAGTACTCGCGTGTTAATGAATAACTTGATGATCACAAATATTGAACCCCAGGTTCACACGTAGTCTCTTTACCTGTCACTGTAAGTAATTTCGGCCCAGTCCTTGGGGCGTCTATTAATCTACATTGAATCATTACCTTAACGATTCGTGTCATCCAGGTCTGGATTGTTGTTCGAAAGCCACAAAAGGTAATTTGTGATGCTAACTGAATATGCACTAGCCCACAGTCAGACTTGTGTCTGGTAATTATATAAACGATTTAAAATGTTACTTCATAGGCTTGGCAAGTGTGGAAGATCGCGTTCGAAGTGACGAAATCGTAGTCGTGAAGTAGGCTTTGACGATAATGCGCGTTTGAATGTGTGACCCGCTCCTGCACACTAACCTCCAGTTACATATTTTATGGACTACTAAGGGAAGTAGACGGTGTTTGGTCATGACTTTACTGCAGGCCCATAAATGCGATCTTCCTCGAGCAACAAAAGAATAAGGCCATCACTCGCAAACACCCATTCATAGACGAGTCCTTGAAGACTCAAGTAATAAAACTTGTTCCATGTATTTAGACAAGTTTCAAACTCTTCCAAAGCACTTATTCTTTATCTTCAAAGAAAAGAGGACTTGAAACCTTCTTGTGTACTTCATTTGCAAACCGCCCACTGTGGTAGCTGTTTCACTCAATTTCATGGGGTTATTTGCGATATTTCCGGTGTGACGAAACCACGCACTCAGTTGGACGGCACTTTTTACAGGCTCAAACCTGCCACTGGTTGAGGTTAACAGTATTGTTTCCAACCAAACCATTTTTGATTGCTGTACACTTGGCCAAGGCAAACGTTTTACGTGGAATAGTGCACCTTGTACAGCCGAACACTTTTACCGAACAAGGTTTCATTGGTTAACCCTTTGTGATTACGATGGATGTATCGTGTTTTGGCACTACACTTAAGAATTGGATGTTTGGGCATTCCGCCATTCGGCTGATGTCGACTTGTCATGTTGGTGAGTAGATGGATCGGTAAAAGGTATTCACGAGCGCAATCACATTCAGTTAACTTCTCACTTTGTCTTTCACGTGTTTACTACTACATGGTTGCAGTTGTATGGTTAAAGCCTCGTGAATTTCACAACAAGGTAGGTAAAGACTTGTTTCTGTGGCTTCACAGATAGAAATCATTAGACTATTATCATCCATCGATATGATCTGATCACTTAGCACCCTATGCGCACAGTGATTGTGGAATCTGCATTGTGGATTTGTTCTTAAAACTAGAGTCATTTAGTGTTCAAGCAATTCAGACTATTTCTATTTGACAAACATATCCGTGACGCCTGCACCACTGTTTTCAGGTTGGAATAGTGGCCCTGTGTCAGCAAAGAAGTCTTCCGCTATCCACCGGGGCGTTTCTGGCCAGTCAGTCCCAGGAGGTGCGTCTCATCCTCCTCTTGAATACCATCCCGCGAAATGCCACAACAGCGCAGATCATCACACAGCTGGTCTATCAGCTGATGGGGCCTCCACCGATCCCCCCTCTACTCGGAGGACCCCAGGAGGCGTGGTGGTGGTCTGCCCTTGGACCCGTAGTCCACCCGGACACATACCCGGTGCACGTTGTGGCCGAACTCCTTTTTGGGCATCTTTTGGCGGGAGAGACGGCTGGCATCAACACAGGCGACCTTGCCTACCTTGTCGCGGCCAGATCAATGCGGTGGGTTTGCGAGTTTTTCGCAGCGTGTAATAGCGCCGAAAATTGCAAATTATTGTGTGCAGTTCAAATAGCCGTTTGATTTCTGGTGGGCCGCATTTGTGGAAACATGTCCTGGCCTAAATGATGGAAGACTTAGCCTTATGCTTCATGCTGATTCAATCTTGTCATGAATGAATTTGTGAAAACAGGCTAATTCTATCTTGATCGGTCAAGGTTAAAACCATATCACAAACAAGTTCTATTTGAGGTTAGAATTAATTCAATAAATTCACTAAATCATCATGCGTTATTTCATCAGTTCGACACGCTTTATGACACAGATCATGTCCTGCTTAGGCAACATTCGGTGAGTTCATATCGCTCTATTTCAAACGAGCTTGTACTGCCTACTTCAACCGATATGGTCAGTCGGGATCCGTTTTTCATGCATGGTGAATTTAATTTATGCAACATTTTTCAGTAATGCTACGGCTCTTTTAGAGCAGTCTGGTTACATGACACGGGAAGAAGACGGATTTGCACTTTTTCGACACCACAGAATTGTCTTTCTCAAGAACTCGTCTTGACTCAAACGGTTTCTGGTAATGGCTAACTTTTAAGAAAGACGCATGGAGATAGCATCCTTCAATGTTCATTAGTGCTGGCATAAGTTTTAATTCATCAAATATTTATTATCCCCTCATAAACGAAGAATCGTGTTACCCTGTAGTAGATTTTCGGCTATGCTAATGCATTGTTTCCAATCCTGAAAAAATTTTATCGAACTAAAGAAACAGTTTGCATAACCTCCATATTCAGGGAATCAGATGGAGTGGCATGTGATCATTGTGAATTATTATCGATCAGTATCCATACCCCTCAACCGGTCAAATGAACGTTTGAATCCAACGCACCATGGATCCTGCGGCGCTGCGGTCGAGCTTCTCGATTTCTTTGACCACCGGTCTTCTTCCAACTAAATCAGCTTATCGAATCAAATAAAAACACTTCAAACACGAGTGGGTGGCACTTGGATTACTTTTGAAATTGACTTAGCTCTAATCTCTAACAGTCTAAACGTACATACGAGGCGACTTTCCGAATTATCTGAGCCTGCGAAAAATTTAGGCGTGGACGTCGTTGACTCAACTCATGGCGAAAGTTCGATTTCCCCTGACGATGTCTGATAATAATGTTGCCTGGATGGGGCATGTTTATGAACAGCACTGACCCCAAATTCGTCTCTTTCAACGAATTTTCAGTTTGGTTCGATTCTCTTCAGATTTTCCTTAAATGGGTTGCTCTCAGGCACTTTGGAAACCCAAGAGTTTGCAATTCTGGTTATTTCTTTAACAATTTGTCTCAGGTATAACTTCCCTTGCCTGCGATAAGTGTGAATTTTGTAAAGTAGCCTGTCTGCTACTCAATAACTCCGAGTGATGACCCAAAGTTGCAAACCAGCCCTTGGCACTAAGCCTTCCCTCTAAGACAAGTCAGACAAACCATGCAAGCTATGTGTCAGACAGGTTGGCTTAATGTTAGTTCGCTTAGCGGAAAAGTCTACCCAAGGAAGACAGTCGGGAATAACTCGGATCGTTCTGTGTATTTTACATACCAGCGTATCTGGACTTGTGTAGGGTTATTTGAATTAATTCACTGGCATTCCTGTGAGTCGGCCACTTTCTTTACATTTTTGTAAAGTAAAAACAAGTGGGACTCAATGCTAAAAAAGTAGAAGTAATAGTTCAAGTGTCCAGATTCGGTTTGAATGACCCGGTTATTATTTTAAAACCAACTCTGGGATCCTTCATGGAAATTTAATGTACGAATGTAACTGGATGACTTAAATGGTCAATTAGAATCTGGTGGTGCTCGCAGGCGTGATAAGCACATCCGACAGGTCGGTGAGTCTGGTATTTCAGCCCTAGTTATGAGTCACTACTGACCAAGTAGTTGTTAACACACACACACACGCATGCACGAGCGCCACAGTTAAGCCCAAGATCCATATCAGCGACTTTTAACACGCAATGGGAATAAATCTCAAATCTGCACAAATCGTCTCGATAAAGAAGCGTTCGGTTCGCGCCAAGAAATTTCCAACTTGAGTACCACATTACCAATTTGGAGGTCGAAGCCTCGCTTATAACACCGCCTTCACATGTAATTATTGATTACACAAATTTCTGCATTGTTTATAAGACGACTGTGCGCGAAATTATCACCCGTTCGTTGTATATTGCATTGCTTACCACATGCGTGATCTGGGTTGTGCTCAAACCTCAGCAGTCAAGGCGTTTTGTGATCTTACTATTTATTGATTTTCTTGGAATGGGGATAGCATTATCTGAGTCCCACATTTTCTTATATCAATGTGCTCAAACCGCAGTATTGGGATATTTATATCTTAGTTACTAGAAGTCACCTTAAGACAGGTAAGGCCAAAATAAATGCAAATCCAAGTTTCTGCTGATTAATAATGGTGCTTTTAAGGCGTCGTTTTTGGTATCACAGTCGTGAAGATTCAAACGTCGGTTATTGGCGGCATTCACGCGACCGTAGTTAGACCAGGTAGGCAATAACTGCTAAAGAACAGGTCAAAAAACTGCATTTTAGGAGTTTAGACGTTTCCGTTGTTGCTGAACCAGCTGCTCGGCTAATTTATCAACCAACACACGAGCTATGTACGCGCATCGCGCCGTGTCGAATTTCAGTTGGGTAAGCATCAGGGCGTGGGAACTACGAACGTTGTCTTCTTTGGGCGGTGGGACTGGTGACAATTTCGAGGTCCCGGAAAATGTCAAACGGGCAAAATTTGGAAACCCCTTTGTGACCATGAAGTTTTATTTGGAATTCGTTTTTTGCATGCACCATCGATTGTTTTCAAGATTAATCCCATTTTTTGAATCAATGTAGTCACATCATTAAAACTGTCATCAAGAGCTTAGTTTTGGAACTCCGTCCACGTGGCTGCATCAGAAAGAGACAAACAGTGAATCTGTGGTAATTCGCCACTTTAAAACTCCCACCCGTTGTTTTTTTAGGTTTCCTGTTCTGGAACCAGTCTCTGACCGTCTCCCTCTTGCAATTGCTTACACAACGTCTGCTTCACAACGCCACGGTGACAATTCCACTCGTTCTGCCTCCTATGTCTCCATGAATTCTACTTCCAGTCCACTCCGCTCCCTCCCCTTGCCCTCAACCTTTGTAACCGCGGCCCTTTCAGGTGGTGGGTCGACACCACTTGGAGCTTCCTTGCCTCCTGCCAGAATTCTGATTCCTCCTCCTCCTCCTCCACCGACCTATTACCGATCAGCCCAGGAGACTCTGCGTCACCATGCTCATAATCTCTACCGGCGTCACGCCCTAGATAGCCAGGATTCCACACCAACGGCGTACCGTCGCGATTTGGGCGTCATGGAGGAGAGACAAGTCCGACTGGCAATTGGTTTAATTCTTGCGTCGCGTTCGGCTGTCTTTCGGATGGATCACTTTATGCGCATCTGCGACAGACACATTCACACAGCAATGAGCCTAATGTCGGTGTCGCGTGAGGTAGTAATCTAGCAGACTGCTGTACAGTCATTTTTCCGATACGTTTCCCCATCTGCCTTTATTAATGCACGATACCAAACCTATATATCTGTCTTAGATTTTTTTGGAATCACTCAGAATAAGTTTTCTAGTCATTTGAACGATATTTACCGCCAGATTCCATGTAATTGGAGTCAAGTTTATATATTGAATGCAGCGAGTCAGAGGGTAGGGTAGCTCAAAGTTAAAAATAATTCCTTAGTGGAAAAGTAGTTACTGATCGTGAACAATAGTCGATTGTCTATTCACACCTCTTCTACTTCGTCTATCCACGTTCATCCCAATAACACGACATGTAAACTAAGCCTCGATCCTGGTCGTGGTGTGTAACCTGATCAGTCAGCAAATAGGTGTTAATTGTGGGCGGTAAGATAAATGTGCTCGATTTCGTGTATTGCAATGTCAAGCTGGTGTAAGCTTAAGGTCAAACACATCGCAAGCCTTTACAAGTTACGTCTATCTCCTTTTTGTATTGATAACTTCAATCTGAAAATTGTCCCCAGGCCTTATGTGTAATCTCCACAAGTGAGAATTTAATTACGAATTTGAAGCGTGACCCTCTCAATTTTCAAGCGGAATTCAAAAGTAACCCAAAATAAGAAGGCGTGGCTTACAAATTTGGCTTCATTTACCCAAATCCATGGTGCCAAACCAAACAATCGAGCCGTCTCGATGACGAGGAAATCTGCCATGCGAGCATCGGTCCATATTCTGCGTGACTTTGCCTTGTAAAAGTTGTTTACGGTTTCTTGGTAAATTGTGTTAGTGTGGATTTCGGCGGAATCACTGTTTGCTAGTTGGCCACTGATCTTTCCAATGTGGGTGAAATTAGGTTAAAATGTAACCACTTAATATAAGTTTGACTAAAACGGTTTAACAGAGCAGTACTTGATCACTCGCGGTTTTCCAAAAGATGAATCTAGTCCTGTGTTTTTCTCTTAACCCTCTTCAACCAGTGATACTGCCTTAAGAGAAAACCTCAATGTGTTCTGGGTTTTAACGTTAAGATCATTTGGCCATTTCCCTCACCTAGCTTTTATGCCGGTTAACCAAATACACATGCTTTTATGGAATCAACTTGTGTGCCAAATGGAATGTCTTTTTTGGGAGGTAGGAAGCTTATCATAGACCGTATGCCGGTCAGCCCATGAGAGTGGGTAAATATATGGCTCCCGTTAGGCGACCAACCAGTCCATCGTGACTTGTAATTAGTTGACAGTTCGTTTTTGACTTCGCGTATTCTTTTGATTTTCTTTTCAAAGGTACTGGCCGAGGCGATAGGCCACCGTCTTCACTCTTCAACCACCGCCTTTACCCTGGACGAGCCCAATTTTCTCGCTAACTCTGTTGCATCGTCGGCCTCCAGTCTAGGGTTCGCCAACCTCCTGCCTGTCAACTTCGTCACCTCACCTCTGCCCACGACGTCTCTGCAAGAGCGTCACGCCCTGGTCTGCGCCGCATTCCACCTGGCCCTCAGCGTGACTGTTCGCACCGTGTGGCCGCGGGCCCAGTGGCGCCGACGCGAAACGCTCGGCTGGGCGGTCTCGACTGGCCTGCTGGCCGGTCCCCTGGCGCTGCTTCACCTCGCCCAGGCCTGGACGACCTACGCGTGCCCTCGGGAGGCTGTGATTTGGCTCGCACCCACCCTTCTCGCCTGTGTTGCCTGTGTCAGTCCGACGGGGCGAGCGGCGCGTGGCGAGGGGATGCTGCTCCTCCCAAGGGTGTACAGCTTCCTGCCTTTCACGCCGGGTGCCGTTGAGCAGATAAAAGCAGCTGTCCGACAAATGACTATACAGGTATGTGCCCTACACTTTGTGCACCGTCTTAGGCAAAGGCGACAGTTTAGCTTCATGGCTATGCATTTTTTCACACCAGTCATGACGGATCTCGCTTAGTTTGGGATCTTGCGCAGTTTTTTGCAGCGCTGCTCACATGTGTGTCTGAGAGTGTCCCCAATCTTTACTTTAACTTCTACCATTGCACAGTTCTCGGGTTGGGTAATAATTCTGTACTTCAGTTTTATCCCAACTCATGCATTGCAAAGCAATGATGGTTGGCAGCATTTCTGCAATTTTGCATTTGTTTATTTCATTTTTTAACTTTACTCACATCGATATGAACTGTCGAAAACTCATTATGATAAGCTTCGAAATCTAGTACGATGACATTAATTACTCTAAGGAATGTCAAATCTCAATTCCTACAATGAACTTTATTTGTTGAGGGTTAAACCGCTATTTGAATGAAAGAAAAGGACACTAGTCTATACATTTACTATTAGGCTGGAATATAAAAATTTTGGGTCCTCAGAGGGATTGTTATGGTGTGCCAAATGTAATTATCCAGGGCATAAACAAAAGTTGTCACTTTTTTGGTGCGGAGAATCGAGTTACCCTAACTCTTTTTGTCAATTCGAAAAGAATCAGTATATTACTTAGAGTACTTAACCACTGTTACCACAAGAAGGCTCACAAATAAAGTGTGTATTTGAAGAACGGGTAAGCACAGGGCCGTGGAAGGCATCATAAATTACTTGTGAATGTCGTGAGAGAACGAGCGTCTTCAGAAGCTTGACATAAGTGCAACAGCAGCTGCAAGTACTGTTCCGGTGTAAAGCCAGAAATGCATGTTGCATTGCGCGTACGCTGCTTCCAAAATGACAGCAGACGCCATGAATCCAGCGCCGAAAACAAGGAAAACTTTCTGAATTGTGGAATTGTGACCCGATCGACACGTGAGAATCGGCAGTATGGCAAGCACAAATGCAACAACTAGACAGACCAGACTGACGATGTAGAGGATGTGGAATGCGAATTTGACAATATCGTCATCCAGTCTGTTGAATCGGAGAAGACCCCAGTCAGTGATCAAACAAGCAACAAGTATCAAAACAATCGCCACACCCAAAAGTATGATTCCAATCTTGTCTTTGTCCATCGCATCTCCCTCTAGTTCCTAACAGACTGATTTAGCCTAAAAGAAAGTTGGCTGTCATAAAAATCGATGCACACGTCAGGTGACCAACTTCGTGACGTCTAACCAGAAGCTTTTTATTGATAAAACACACATCAAACGAGGCAAGAATCAAACTTCCTACCGGAACGAAATTTACATAAACCACGCAAACGAAGTATATTACTAACCCAATATTACACAAATAATTGATCCAGAATGCATTGTCGCAGTTAAAATTCAATGCATTTCCTCGTAAAGATGCATTCTTGCGCATTTCCAAATCAGTGAAATTAGGTAATTGTTAATTCAATTCTTAAAACTGCTAATGCTGTCCTATATTTTCATTCTGGGGAACCGGCTGTGCGAATTTCGTTCGTGTGCTTCTCCGCCACTCTCGCGCTTAAGTTTTCCAGTCACTCCAGATCGTTGTAATGCATTAAACCTGATGATGGGCTCAACTTTCAGATCCTGATCACCTTCTGCCACGAGATCGCACTCTGTGCCCTGTAGACATGACTTAATTTATTTAATATTTTAAACATTGATGACTTGTAAGAAATGCACAATTCGTCTGATCCAATCAGCTTCATACCTTTCAAACTGCGCTTATTTTATAAAAAGGCTTTATTTTGTATCGATTGCCCATTTATTTAAGGTGAATCGAGAGAGCTGCTTTACGCTCCTCATTCCAGCGTTTATTCTATGGACATAAAAGCCACAGTGCAGGATAGTGCTGTTCCCATGTACAGAAAAACGTAGGCGAGATGGGCGTAGTAGATCAGATCGAGGACAATGACGATTATGAGCGAAATCACACCGACATACAGGAAGGCGAGCATAATTTTGTCTAGCATAGCAGACATTGGGCAGCACATAAGTGGCAGGAAAGTTAGCATGAAGGCAATAAAGACACAAACTACACCGACTAAATCAACAGTCAGCATCGAATAATAGACGGGGTCTTGTTTCTTGACTGAGTTCAGGTGATATCGTCCTAGCATAAAACAGGCAACAGTCAGGCATACCACTGACAACCCGAGAATCAATGTGAACATTTTTCTGTCGGCCATGCTGAAATTGGTACCTTGTTCTCACATTTGGTGTAGTGCATGAACAGAAAAAAAGTCAATAGATGCAGCACGATCAGCTGATTTGAAGGTCGAGTCTGTATAAGTGATGAACGGTTTGATGAAGTTATACACAAACCGTCAAGAATGAAAATATTTTTGATTTAACATGAAACATTCACTATGCGAGAAGAAATTGTACTGCTTTTCTACCCGCTAATTCCGGCATGTACTTTCGATTTGAGTAATGTAGAGTTTGTTAGTTATCACAATTTTTTTATGTTGATCTTAAGAAGACATAGGTAGTTGGTTGGCAATTGAGTGCCAAACTCTTTCGTGATTCCCTGCAACTCCACTAAATTGGATACATTTAAGCTGACGTGATTTGTAAAAAACTGTAATCGTCATATCAAAGACATTAATTTCGATTCTAGTATTTAATAAGTAGCAAGTTTGGGAGCCGTAATGAAGCGCTTAAGTGCTTATATTGTATGTTTTTTTTTCACCTTTCTTTCAAAGTCCTTCACTACGACTTTACTACTGTTTACTGGATTTGTGCGCTGTTAATTTTTTTGTCACAGCTTGGTAACTGCAACCTCGAACAAAATTAGTCGACAGTCATCATTTTTTTCACTTGATTTTGTTTCGTGGGTCTTGCTGTTCTATCAGATTCCTCTGACAAGATAATTGTAACCTTGAGTGGCCTAGCCTGTTATTCTCCAGTCCTATGACTCCAGTGAAGTGCGTTTGGACCTGCTGTCAGTTCCTCACGCCAGCGCATGTGGTGTGGTGGCTGTCCTGACTGCGTCAGCCGCAATTCCATGATTTTACTCCCGTTGTCTGTGCACACACACACACACGTTTCTCCGGTTGTTGCAGTCTCTAGTCCACGCATAAACGCCTAATCCGATCGCAGACGATCGTTTTGAATGGGGTGAAATCACGCCAGATCTTCACGATGCCTTGGAGCTCGCATTTCTTCTCCCATTCTAATTTGGTGACGCACGCGCTTCTGGCTAGGAGTCTAAGCGACATCTTTACCATGGGAGCAAAAAGTGGGAGCCTGCAAGGGCATCCAACATCTGCCTCATCAAGATAACAACTAAGAAGTGCGCGTAGTCAAGACTCGAAAAAAACAGTACTTGTTGAAATATTGCAGTGTGTCTACATTCTTACACGGTAATCTGGTTGTTATGCCCATGTATCAGCTGCCCAGCGCACGAAACACAATGTAACTTCTGCCGATGTTCATTCTCCGTGTTTTCACCACTAGCTGAATTTTGTCGGTGTAGTTTTATTCCCCGTACATCACTAATGTGTGTTAATCTCCATTCGAAACAAACCGTTCTCCTAAACCAGGTGTGAACCGCACGGCAATCGTAAACTCTGCGAGATGTTTGTGGGTGTAATGTGCATGTTAAACGGACACAACGTCTTGAGGTGTGAATGACCCTCCATAGTAAACCAATAGAGCGTACTTCCTTCCACTACTACCGCCACCAACACCATACTCCCTCTAGCATCGCTTCTCCGTGTTCACCAGCACGCCTCCTTGATCGCTACGCAGCTACATGAATAGCCCTTAAGTCATCTCCAACCAGTACCACGTTGGCTCTCGGTATTTGGCTTCATTTTTGACTGAAACGCATTTGATTATGGCCGAAACGTTAACTCGTTTGCTTCCAGCCATTAACGTAACTGCCGAATATTCAATACTCTGTCTGGCTGTGATGTTAATGAGCCGGAAACCATTGCTTCCCTGATCGTATCAATGAAGTGGTGGCTGGTTGCTTGGCCACCGTTTCCCCCGATGTTGAAGCTGATTTTGTTCCTCTAATTTTGAAATATAGCCTTCTTTGAGGATCGAATATAGCTCTTTCATTGTGTACACCTGTTTGTACAAATCCGGCTCAATCTGATCACAGCCTGAATTTAAGCAAAAACATTTAGCCCAATGTACCCTGGGTGTTTTTTCTCATCCTTTTGTTTTGCTCAGCCGAGACTATCATGTACATTTCTTGTCTACTAAAATGAAATAAGTAAATTGTTTTGTAGTCATATCGAATAGTCGGTCACCCACCCAGACGCTGCAGCTGGGGCGAGCTCTTCAGAAATTGTTTTGAAGTCATGGCAACGGCAACTTCTTAATTTTGTATTTACTGTTGTTGCTATGCCTATTAAGCTACTAGGCGAACTTTAAACTTTTTTCTGAGAGGTTAAAACATAAACATCCGTTTAATTGCTCTCATTCCGTCAACAAACCGACGGCGTCTTGTTCTAGCTCCGAATGAGATTCGCTGAGGTGTGTGTGATTTTACAATGAAATGGCACATAACAATGCAGGAGACGAGTTTACTATATCGAGTCATTTCACCCTTATTTTAAATATTTCCATTTCGAAACTAAAAGGGGAAACTTTGTTCTAATTTTCAAAGAGCCATTCGAGGTACGGATTGTGGTCTTTCTAACTTATTCATTCGTGACTGTTTGTCACCATGGCAACCGCCGTTCTCTTGTTTTCTGTTCTGTTCGATCGGGAAAGAAAGTTGCCAGTATGTAAGCGGAATAACAGCATCTGTCCGTTGTTCCAAATTGTAAATCTCGACTATTAAGATCTACCTGATTTTTAATTCGGAAAAAATGTAATTGATGAGTAAACTCTTCTGGCGAAAATATGTTTCACCTGCCACTAATTCGTAGGGCTATTTACCGATAGCTTTCGCACAATTTTCTCCCATTGGAGAATCCTTCCTGTTGAATTTTCCAGTTTTTCGTCACGTCAAAATAATGGATCTGCAGTTTTTGTAGTCTAGTGTCTTGAGTTGCGGTTAATCAAATAACCAAATGGGATTGGTTCCCAGATTCTGATCTGGAAAATATTTGTGGTCTGTAATTACACCCACTGGATTTAATTAAACTTGTTAAACCTTGAGAAATTTTCATTAGTTTTCCCACACTAGTTTTCGACGTCGCCTAGCGGCTGCTTCAGCGGTGTCAATTGTGGAAAGTTGTTGTAGAATCTCACAAACCGTTCCGAAAGTTTCGTCATCGCAATGCAGCAGTGCCTCATGTACCATTTTTTTAAAAAAATCCTGTAGAACTGAGTCCGGACATGGGAGATTCGTTGAGGCCACGGTTTCTGATATCTAATTTGTTATTTGCTGTCAACCATCGATTGATTAGTCAACTTACATCCCTGTGTTTTCAGTGAGAATTGATTCGCGTTATTTTAATCTCCATATAGGTGTGATTAGTACCCCCACTGTGCTGGTTCACTGCTTGTGCGTGATCACACCGCCAGATGTGCCAAAACTTTTCCGATTAACTTGACAACGCCGACGCGCTTGCTAACTTATTCGCTGGTCATTTACTAGCCGCGGTAGCTATAAAAACTGCCGAATCGTCGTGACCACTAGGCAGGCCTGTCTCGTTTAGTGTGTGTGCTGATGACGCACCTTCGACGTCGCATAAACTACCAGCACTTGCATTGTAAGCGGGCCTCGTGAAGATTAATATCTGGCCCGTATTCTGACTCGTCACGTGCCATCACCCAGCGTTAGCACCCTCACGCCGGACATAGGCAGCCCCCTGCACTGACAAGGCCTCGTGCCTCTCAGAGCTGACTCACGCCATCTTAACATCCCCACGCCACCACCGAACTCAGTAGCAGAGGTCAGTTGCCAAAGCAACATCCACCATCTCGCCTACTTTGTACTTAATCACGCGGCCAACTCGTGGCTTTGTTTGTGGTAGGACTGTGGCGAAACATCGTCTCTTATCCAGCATTACATGCGCACGCAAACTAGATTTGTTTATTGGCAAAAAATTCACATGAATACTTTCTTTGTCGAATGTTACTTGCCACCAACTGATTCTGCTCGGCGTTTAGCCAGTTACATTTTCGATAGTCACGATAAGAGATGTGTCATGGCAAGACCTATGGAAACCTGGCAGTGGTGGCCACGCAGATTCTGTTACACCGAAATACTTTTTTACGATCGAATCCTCCCTTCCCCCCCGGTTCCTGCACCAAACCTCGAAAGGCATTTGACCGAACCTCGGAGGGGCGCTGTAGGGCTATGTGATGGCGTCCGTGTCTGCTCACAACCCCTAAGGAGGCGATTCGCCCAGTTGTGCCCCCACCACTCACCGGAAGCTCGGCCAGCACCATCCAAGCGCCATAGGGGTGCTGATTAGTCATCGGCACGCGAGTCACGCCCTTGTGATTAAGCGCCGGGCTATTTCCAATCTAGGCCTGTACGGATTCGGTGGTGGGCTAATGAAAACGAACTCAGTGTACTCCCCACCACCCGAGGCGCTACGCCATGCATGACCACTGATAATGATTGGTCCCACCCCCCAGTGCAAATAAGCCCATCCAATGACGGCGTTTTTGCTCAGAAACCAATCGCGGACAATGGGTGGACGCTATATTAACCTCCCGGGGAACCGACATACAAGCATCTTTTCACGTAGAACGACACAGTTTATTTGAACTGATTGTACAAGCCAACAAAAGCCGATAAAAGGAATTGAGTGAGTATAATTGCAGGATATAAGCTCTCAGGCGCACATGGCAAAATGGAACATCCTATTGATTGTCCAATCAGCATTGAGTATTTTAACAACGAGGGTTGCGGATGACCACTCGTTCACTGGTAACACACCTGGAGGTGAAGGCTGCGAGGATTGCGACAAGAACAGAAAAGACCGCCCCGACAATGCATAGGAAATAAGGCCATTGTCTTCCCTGCCTTGCGGTGAAAACAAGAACACCAGTCATGACGAGAGCGACACCCAAATAGAGTATTAAGAATCGGGCCGTTAGCAAACCAGAAGGAACAACACTTTGGCAGAGCACGACTACGTCCAAAATGAAGACAAGAATAAAGCAGGCTAAGCCAACAACAATTAAAAGCGTCACCGCAGTCATTGCCTCCTTGTCATGGCTGGATCCACCGAAAGCAAGTCCATTACGCCAGTCAGATATTGCCAGGGCTGCTACTATTGCGGCAATCGATATAACCAGGAGGACAGTCGATAGTCCGCGCATGGTAACCGGTCCGTCTGCTGCCTCGTGTTAGTTCGCGCAATCTGACTTTGGCCGCATGCTGGCAGACAAGTGACTCCTGATTGGTCGATTCAACGTCCAATAGAAAAGCCAGGCGGTGTGTAACAATGGCGAGCGCGCGCTATTAACAAAACGCCCCTTCCCATGGTGGTTATGTGATTCCCCCAAGTAGGTGGCCCAGCTAATTTTCCCAGTTATTTCCTTATCACGCAAGTAACTCTATGGCACTACCTTGCTGGCTTGAGTAAGCATCGACGACATCAGCTGAGGCAAGCTGAACATTTCATTTGACAGTGAATGTGGCAAGCTGTCATCGATGACAGATACCGTGAAACTTCCTTCATCGACAATTGGCTTCACAAACAGGCTGCGTTCATCAGGAAGCCTGTTCTAGCGATAACTAGGTTACATGGACCCTCATAACCACTAACTGGTATCTCGACCTTTCTTTAGATGCAAAGACGAGCGCAAAGTAAGCCTTAACTGCTCTTGGAAACTCAGAATGACTCCCCAATTTTCCCAAAATAGAGAAACACTACACACATCGACTGCTGTAGAGTATACCATCCGATTTATTTCCAAAACGTTTAGAAGCTTTAAACAAACACATAATTTTTACCTACAAGAACAGAAGAGTGTTTGTGTGGATGTGTTTACGTGGAAGATGAATCCAATATAGTCCGACACGCAAATTACATAAGGCGACAGAGGAAGCGGTAAAATCTTAGGCGAATGAAGCGTGACATGCAAGCGGTTTTCCCACATGATTTCCACGAATTTAGCGGGTGGAGCGAACAACCACCACGCGTTCACGGGAGACACACTTGGAGGAAACAGCGGCCAGGATCGCCACAAGAATGGCGAATACCGCGCCCACTACTACCAGGAAGTAGGGCCACAATCCTCCCCTCCGTGCCGTAAAAACAAGGACGCCTATTGTGATCAGTGCCACTCCGATGTAGAGGATCACGAATCGAGCGGTAATCGTTCCGGCTGGAACGGCAGTTTGGCAGAGCATAACCATGTCGAGGATAAAGACGATAAGCAAGCAAATTAGACCGATGATAATCAAGAAGGTTACCGCGATCATTGCCTCCTTGTCATAGCTGCTCCCACCGAAGGCCATTCCATTACGCCAGTCGGAGATAGCCAAAGCTATTATAATCAAAGCAATGGCAATACCGAGAAGAGCAGCAGCGAGTCTCCGCATATCCATTTTTGAGCGCAAAGTCCAAGAGCTCCCAACAGCCACCTAGTCCTGGCCAAAATTGACTGGCGTAGGAACGCACAACCGCGTCTGCGCAGTCGTGCACATTGCGGCTCAGTGATTGGTCTATAAAATGACCAATCATATTAGCGAAAGGCGATAGGGGATGTCTTAGCGCAGGCACGTGTGTGCATTCGTATCGACTTCGCGTTCAAGTCTTGCGTCTTTGGGGAGGGTGGGTGCATGTGTTTGTGTGTGTGTCTTGAAGGTCGCAGTCTCAGGGGTAAATTTTGAAAACAGAAATTGTAAATGCATTTGTTCACACGTGTGCACATGCGTGCGTGCGTGCGTTCATGCATGCATGTATGTTAATACGGTCAGACTTAGCACGAAAGCAGTACGTGTGCTGTTCTGTGACGTAAAGTGAGGTTAAGTTCGACTGTTGTTATGTCACTATAAGGCGCATTGACAAAGTCCATGTTCAATTGTGTACTTTTTGCCTAAGCTAACTTGACTGAGCGCCCAATTCGACACTTATTGGGTTGTTCATCTGTCGCACGGAGTGTTTGGACTGCTTAACGACGATGCGACTCACGGTGCGAAGACTATCGATACGTAAAGCGAAGCGGCAATTTCAACCCCCCTGTCTTTATTCAGTGCTTTTTTCTCCACAAAACGAGAGTATCGTCTAAACGTCTAGTGGATTCCCCAAAGTTTTAGTTCAGTCGTGACTTTTGTAGCTTCCATAAAGCGCTCAACATTGATATGAGCTGCTCCAAATCCCCCGCTGTTTACGCCGTTTTCGTTCATGTCTGATCATGCGAACTTGGTTGCTGGACAAGTCTACTCTATACAACCCCAATATTTGACAAAATTCCCGCCCCTGAATAAGTGTGGTTTCCCCAAGAGTCGGAGATGTAAAGTTTAAGTTTATTTCAGTGACATAGTCCTGGAGAAAGCGATCATTGCTTGTGCCCGATTCCGATGAAGCGCAGTATTTTCCGCAAATGGGCCAATATCAGGATCCGAATTACTGTAGAGGGTACGGTCACTAAGAGCATTAAAACCTTGACAATCGTCATTGTTTTTTGTTTTCTAATCCGACGAATCTTGCTTGCCAAATGGACTACAAGTGCTACACACAGTCATTTATCAGTCTGTAAGGTCTTGCTATGCGTCAACCGAGAGTTCTAATCCACAATTTTCAACAAATATTTGTCCATTACTTGTTTGGAATTACTCAGTCGCATCAAGGAGAGGGCGAGCACGCCGTCTCATTTGCCTCGTTGATTACACGAGGGTTTTACTTCAGAATTTGGCAGCTGTTTTAATCTGCGGTCTCGAAAACACAAATATTCAAGTTTTACGACTTGAGTCTTACTGATAACATCTTGGTTAGCCTAAGGCCACACTTCAGCGCTTATTGTAACTCTCTGGCGTATGTCATGCGCGTCACTCAAAAAACTTCGATTTTCTGGCACTGCAGTGTTGGCTCTTATGCGAATGGACCGTGTTATCTTGCAACCTCATATTCGCTAAAAACGACTTTTTACGATAGCCTGGGGTGCACGGGAAAAAATAGGGAAGTAGGATGACAGCATTTGCAGCATTTTGTAAAAAACGATTGAATCCAGCGTCCACGCTCCACAAGTCACACATCTGTTAGTTTAATCTAGTTAAATGTATGAGCGTTGTGTAAATACACACCCATACATAAACACTCGCTTTCAGATTTAATGTGTGAGATTTACCCTGAGTGCAGCTGTAAAATCTGGCATTAATTAACCAGCTTGCACTCTCTATGTATGCGTGTGCCATTCTGACACCGGGGCCGAACATTTGGCTGGGCACGATAGCATCGTGTTTGACCTCCTTTGGCACAAGCGAAACCGACGGTGCACGGGGCGGTGTCAGGTGAATGACCACAGAATACAGCAATCCGCTCATGGGTCCATGACCTCGGAGCAAGCCCTCGTCTGAGGTTGTGGCCTCGACTCAGGCTACAACGGGTTTTCATCGACTGTAGGAGCCAAAAAGTTCACAAGAGAGCCTGCATTATGCAAAATCAAAATGGCATTGATTACAGCGAATTAGGTGAGGTTTTCGTAATGTGAAACTAATGGCACTGATCACACCCAGTCGCGTGCATTACTGCCTTGGCTAGTGGCCAAACTAATATTATGCAAGAGGTTGGTCGTGGTGGTTTAGGTGCTGCCAGCGGGGACTAAAATAGTTTGTTTGCACTTGTGTGGTAACATTGATACAATGCACATTTGGCCTCCAAATCTGGCAGTAGTGGCTGCAGGCTGTCATTCAACGTATCGTTTGTTGACATTGTAGGCAGCAGCACAGGACCCCGTGAACTGCGCTCTCACGGCACTCCAGCTGACAGAATTGGATGCGGCAAGCTTCGAGGCGACATATCAACTGGTTGTGGAGGCGAGCAAGTCAGGAACCTTCGGTCCCAATCACATCTTCTCCGCCGCTCGACACCTCGACGGTCGTGGCTATCCCCACTGGGCGTTTCCCCTCACCATCCACGCCATACGGCTCTTTTCACTCGGCGGACTTCAGGTAGGCTTGTCAACCTTCAACATACTCAAATGTTTCACTGCACAAAAAAGCGACGAGTCTTTCCAAGACGAGGTTATCATGCGCTGATTTTGAGCCAGCTGTGGTGATAAACCCAGAGTCCTTTAGGAGTTGCTCCACGTTGCTCACTGTTCAGCAACCTTAGCGTTCGGGTGAGTAGGAAACAGACTTGCCCAGTTCTTCCACCCAAGTCCTTCACAAAGTCTAATTTCACATACTTAACGCCCTCTGATGTTCGAGGCAGGACATCGTAACGAGTCGTCTTATTCCAGTTTTCGAATGCCCCTGTTGCCATCTAACAAACTGCAGGAATATGCAGGTATAACATAATGGTTTCCAATATTTTTTTGGGCAATATCTTTAAAATCACTCATAAAAATACCTCAAATATTCCGCAAGATGGCAATAAACACTTAAACTATTCGACGCATTGTGCAATCTTTGCTGAAAAAGTTCAATAACCTGAAAGTGAAGGGAATCACTTTTCTCCCTGCTATTTTAGTATTTGTGTAACCGATGATAATACGTTTGATTTGTCGTCAGCGTTATTGTTCAACTTCGTTTGTTTTAATATACAGTTCATCAACACACACAGCTCAGTCTTTCAGTGTCTCGTATTTGAAAAATCTTTCACCACAGCCACCTGTCCAAGCATATCCGATGGTGTAGTCTTAGGTTTCACACGCACCCAAAGCAAACAATGCGGTGTCACAACCGACCTTTGATCCTGGAAAACGGGGACTCAGGCATCTACTTGATCCTTGCATTAACACTGAATAATAGACAGCTTAATGTCGTTTATTGAAAACCGCTGTTCCTACAATTTCCCCGAATTTTCCTAAAATCGACACCCCGACTGATTTGATGAAGCTTCTTATGAGGACCTCGGATTTTTTTAAGTCATTGGTATCGAAGACGTGATGACTTGTCTATTGTACGGGATCGATTTATGCCATTTGACCTGGTTAGATGAAGACAATTTACTAAAACCATTCACATGCCGAGGTCTGATGGAGAGACGATGAAGAATAAGGGGCACACGCGTAGGGTTTGGGGTGAAAATTGCTGCGTCCCCTTAAGGTGAGCGGGAGCCGTGTTCAAGGCTCCATGTTCACTTGTATACTGAATTGTCGTAGCCTCATCCCATGGATTGATTAGGTCACGCTCATATCGTTTTCCCAAAATGCACTTCTTCTAAAAGCAACCACTCCTCTCCTTTGGCCGTTGGTTGAAGACGGTTGCGCAACATTTTTCGGCTGATGGGTTGCCTATTAAAAGGTTATGTTGAAGTAAGCGAGAACTCGCTAGCAAAGTGCTTTTAGGTATGGGGACCAATCATATCCGCCCTCCGTAATTGATGTAATTCTACAGGAAAATGAAGCTTGGCTTTTCAGTGGCCTATCTTTAGTAATCTGAAAGAAGCCTGATGTAGGCGTGTTCACATCAGTGCAGTCGCCTGGTTGAGAGCCTGACATGGACGAGTTGTTATGGTTCTTTTTGTTGTTTTTTATTCACTGCCCAATTTCGGACACGGTGAAATAAGAACCGATGTATCGCCCGCCTGATGTTGGGCTTCAACCGTGCCGACAGACAACCTCGTGGGGCTACGACATGCACCTTGTCCAGAAAACAAACGGGCTGATTAAAAATCAAGCCATCGCTCATTTGCTATTTCTCGTACATCGAATAAGCCAATTTTTCTGCTTTGGTTTAGGATTATTCCATCACGTTTTTGGAGCAATATTTACCTCCAGGACGACACAGTAAAAAAGACGGTTTATTAACGTGTGTTGCTGAAATTTACCGAGTTTTCAGTTGTATTAGTTCCCATCGAAAGGAAAGGCACCCCAGTCAGTATTGGCGTCAGCGGCGTGAATTTCGCACAAACCTCACCCCACGCTGTATTTAAAATGTTGGCATCTCGTGGCCATGCTGCAGGCCTGTCGAGTCAGTTTCCACAAAAAAGAATACCGCGTTAATCGAATCGGGAGTCAAAACGCCTACAACTACGGAAAGTAAACCCGTTTGTTGTTGAAGTTGATACGCGCACCCAATTACTTTCGTTGGCGGATTTTTGACTGATTTGCCTTACCCCCACCAAGACACCAAATAGTGTAACCTTACCACGTTTTATGCCACTTACTATCGGAATTGCCTAGAACCCATTTTGCTTATGCACAGCTCTGTCAGTCAGCTGCCATTTGAACAACTGGAGGAAGGCTTTTCCGTTAATGTCTACCACCTGGGGAGAGTTCCCTCGTTGGTTTCTAAAAAAAACCATTACTAATGGGGGAAATCTAATACTTTAAGGTCGACCTACTTGGTTAAGCAATTGCGGTCAAGATTAAATGCCGGCTCTCACTGAGGCCAGAAATTTGGTTTGTATTCAAAAAACCGTAGTTAGCCATTGAGAGGATTTTCGAACAAAATTCAGTATAAACATGGCCACTTTCTGGCATTGTTCTCATTAATTTTTCCGTTTGCACTGTTTCTACATGGCTTCACTGCCTGCAGTGGATTTTATGTTTTGACGGTTTCGCTGTGTGGCTGAACTGCCCTCTTTCCAAACAGGACAGGGTGCGATTCGCCACAGCCATGAATTCAACTTAGCGAGACAATTTATAGCTTGTACACGCACACGCATTTTATGGGCGAAATGTGAAGTCCACGAGGCCCTTTCGGGTTGGTTGCACGAAGGTGCATCGACGGTTGCCTTAAGCCCCGCTGGCACCAGTTCCCTCCGCACGCGCGTCCTCCTGATCCCCGTATTTGGCAGCACGGTAGTGGCGGCGTTAGCACTACCTTACAACCCTGCTAGTCCACAGTCCGTAACAGCCAGAGGAGAGAGGCAAGGCCGGTGATAGCGAATATAGCGCATTTTATTTACACTTGACCACCCAAGTCTTTTATGGAAAAATCGCGTGAGTGCATCTCGAACGTCAACTGTAACGACGACATTCGATGGTTTGGTAAAAGTCCACTGCAGCACTTTCTGATTGGTTTTCCACACAGGTTCATAATCTCGGTGGCGTTTTTGACTCAAAACCGAATCATCAGGTCGGTCTTTACTCAAATAAGTATTGTTTTGAAAGGGAAACTATTTTTGAAAGGAGATAGAAGCGAGTTATTCAGCCATTTGACGATTTTGAGATAGTAGTGTTTTTGGTTGAAAAAATGGGTACAGGTCTGTTATTGTGAGCTGCTTGTTGTTGTACGCACCTACTAAAGTGGTCGGTGTCTATTACGGCTCTTAAAGCAACTGCATTTATCTGTCAAAACCTTTCTTGGTGTTGGCCACATCCCTGTCGACGATTCCCTTCACAACTCCGCACGGCGCTCAACAGTATGAAGGGCGTAAGTACACTGACAAGGTAGGCAACTTGAAGGTGAAGCAGAGCCGTAAAAAGTCGCTGAGAGTCTCCTTGCAGGACGGAACATTCACTCAAACATTCCATAGGAACTTTCAGCACCTCGTTGAAGGCAACTGCGCTAACCCAAAGTGCCTGTGTGAGTGGAACCTGGGGGGCATGACACTACCTTCAATGACTGCGACTTCCGTGTAAACAGTCCTTGTCCGTTTGACACCGGTTGCCCCCTTCAGATAAACACGCCAAGATTAATTGCGGAACACCACAAGTGCAGTTCGAAAGTGTAATCTGTTTTTCGCACCAACAATGATGCGGATGTACGTGTGTTTTATCATAAAACAAACAACGAAATGCAACTTTCTCTTCTTATTTGATTTTAAAAAAATAATTTCCGACTGAACTCTGAAGGATTGGATTGGAGGTTGGATTCTCTTGATTTCAAGGTTTAGCTACTATACTAGTGGTATTTGTGTGCCAGTCAAGACGTCGATGATATTCCGAAAAATCCCGTACATTTACATACAGGGCATCGCTTATTGGCTCGATAAATTGTGAAAACACATTTTAATACATGCTTCTAGATGGGAATACACTACTAAGAGCAGTTCAGATATGTCGACTTTTATGTCCGAGCTGTTGAAACCCTGAAATATTTTAATTTTGGGGTCTTTTTGCTACCAAATTAAAGAGAGTGGTTGCTTGTAGTTATCCTTTACCCAAATTTTCCACAATTGTTTGGATCGCTGAACTGAGTTAAAACAACATCGTTTTTTTTCAAACACACAGGTAGACCTTCTTGTTTACGAAAACAGTCCCTTCAGAAGTAGATATTGATGTCATGTGACAATAATTGACCTACACACCTCACTTTTGACTATATTTACCGGTGAATTTTTCTTTTTTTAAGTAAGTTTGCTCAAGGTAGATCCTGGCACAAGCATATAGTGCTAACTGTGTCGCCTCATGTAGTAATTTCAAGTGACCATCCTCGTATCAGTTGCATACAGTGGCAACCAAGGGTGAACGTAGGGATCGGTCAAACGCCTTGTGTGCTTTTGGATGAACAAACCATTAGTCGCCTGCCGTATGCATTTCATACCAGTTAACATGTGGGAACTCATCGAATGCCGTCGTCTTACTTATCGGTCCAATTACACTGCAATGCAATTCTGCATGTTCAGATATTTGCGTCTGAAGACTAACCATTGTAGTCCGAAATATCAATCCTAAAAGCACACACACACAGGAAACATCTGGCCTTTTCCAGTGCTAGGTTATGCAGAGCCTTGTCATCGGTGCATTTTCGCATTCAGTGTTTTATTCGCTCCCGACTTTTATAACCTATTAGTGTCTAATTCCAATCAACCATGTTGTGTAAATTTATGCTTGCCTGTTAAATGTCAGATGTGGAAAGCTGTACATTACATAAGTGAATTCCCATTTTGTGCAGCTTTGGAGATGTCTAACTGAATTGCTTCAACCTGCTGTCATTTACAGATAAATATAAAAAACGCTGTATGATGTTTCGTCATTCTAACGGATCATCAGTCAGGCATGAAATTAACTTTATTCCCACTATCGTTGCTTTTTATTTTTATGAATCGTGCCTCGATTTTGCAGAAGTCTAAAAACGAATCGATAACAGGGAGTCCTGATAAAGAACTTTCATTACGATAATAATTAATTTCATAAGAAGGATTAGTTGGATCAATTTTTTTACTTAATAGCGTTAAGTATTCCACTTTATAGAAGAACTTTTTTCAATCGATGAAAACATACCACTTTTACAAGGCAGGCCGCCGCATATTCAACCAACCTGTCCTTGTATATCCAAAGTCATTGTGTCTTGTTAAATAAACCCCGTCAGACGTTCCGGCAGCTATCAAGTTTGCGTCAAGTTAATCGTAGGAAAACCGTGACACAAAGACATGCCAGAATATAAACAGGAGTCTGGATTTCATAAACATGCATGATCAGATGTGCGAAGTGCAAGAGGTGTGATATATGCTTGTCAGATCGTGTGACTGGAAGTTCATTGGTGGTGTCGGCTTCAGCGTTTTGCCAGTGTTCCCCCCAGGTAAGGCGCGTTCTGAGAATAAAGATCGGAACAGCCGTTGAAATTCCCCTGGATGTCTTTGTGCCGCCGCCACTTCTTCACTTACGCATAGTTGTATCGCATAAATTTGAAATTAGGTTTTAGAGGGTATATCACCTCAATTCATTTAGCCGATATCTCCAAAAAGGTGCACCGTGAGTTTCATGAGAGCTCTAGTTACAATCAATGTAGTTTGTGAACCAGTTTTAGGCCACTGATTCACACCCACGATTGTCTAAGAACCGAAAATTAAACATAGTTCACTCCAAACTAAGGAAACACGTTCTAAACCTGTCCTGTGTGTGTGTGTCCATATCAAATCGTCAACGCAACAATATTTTCTTTAAGGAGAACCACCCCTTGGCGCATGACGTACTTTGGTCATGTCTTCTGGCTCACCGCATCGGTCCCGTGGCGTTGCAGGAGATATTGACCCACGTAATTCGCAACGTGCACTGTCCGACGCTCTTGGCCGACATTCTGCATCGGTGTCGAGCTCCTCCATCGCCTCTTCCACATCATCGTGGCGATGCCTGTCACACTGCCCATCGTAAGTTGCCCATCCTCTATTGCCATTGGGTAGAAACTGCTTCATGTTCCCACGAACATGCTTGCTGGACCCACGACTGGTGTGAACACAGCAATCAGTAGCAACTCTGCATCACTATTCTTCGGTAGCACCGCTTAGAACTTAGTAGTAATTACGACTACACAATCAAGTGGACGCAACCGCCTCTGTAGTTACCGGTCATGATTTATTTTATTGGACATGTCTATACGGTACTTGTGAATAGAGAAGACTAATTGTGAAATGGAACCAATAAAAGGTAGGGGGGAGCCAATGTCTTCACTAAAGCTTGTTTGGACAGGCTTCCACTAACTAGCCTTCACGGACAGTTCTCTACACGTGGCGAAGTCAGAAGAATAAATTGCTAAGCACACAAAACGCTCTAAGCTTAAGCACAGTTGGACCCTTTAATTTTCTGTCAAAGGTGTTATAGATGTTAGGGTCGATAACATTGCCAACTAACAGCGCCACAAACACACAAGTAACCGACGGAAACTTAAGTGAAATTGGTCTTTTCAACTGGATGAGTTACCATATTAGGCGCTGCTACTGAGTTAAGCCGTCTCTGTCAATTCACTGACTTCAACTCAGCAAAGTGTGATTAATTCGTAAGACTGAAAAACCAGTGCCATCCCACTCTGATTTAAATACTAGGCGGTTTCAAAGGTGAATCATTAATGAGGTAGAATATGGAATGAGCAATGTGTATTGTGAGATATAGGTTTAAATTAGATAAAACAATTCACATGTCTGCCTAGGAAATTTGCATCTCCTTATAAGGCCGCCTCGCCACTAAAAGCCACTGTTAAAGGTGCGTGGGTTTCTTGGATTATCACAGTTTATCCTTCCTAGCTGTGGAAATATCAAGCACATTGCTTTTTAGGTACAAAAAGTCACACCTGCTTTCGTTGGAGTACTAGCCGTCTCGTTTATTACGTGGCTCGTGTGAAGCTTAAACGTGCCGCGATGTAATTTGTGATTGTCGTATCCCTTCGTAACACTAATCAACTATTTTTCGCGCATTTTGACAGTTCCATTAAGGACGTCATGTCATACATTCATCTTGTAACAATGGTCATAGTGTTCATCTATGACTGGAGCCCGACCATAGCCCCAACAATTTGGCCTGTTTAAGGGTAAATAGCCTAACCATTGATCACGTATATTAATTGGCCCCCGTAAAATTGAAGATTGTAGAGAGCTTGTTTTAGCTCCGAACACCACGAAAAAACGAGTGGAAATAAATTGAGGTAAAACAATCAAGCGTATTAAACTTTGTAGGCCATCCTCACCAGCTCATTGCAGAGTACCACCCACCTCGTTGCCCTACAGACACATACGTGGCGTGCTATGCGAGCGCCAAACAATCCCAGTCCCTCCTGCCTGTAGACGCTCCGCCACTGAAGGCGTTGTTAGAGGCCACGATCAACGCATTTGTGGTCACCACACACGCTCGTCTCGCCAACATATCACCACGCCAGTACATCGAGTTTCTCAACTTCTTGACAAGGGCTCGAGACACCTTTGGACTGCTCAAACCGGATGGACCGTCCCAGTTTCGTCAGCTCGTCAGTTGTCTGTGTCACTCGTACCGCGGGAAAAGGAAACTGGTCGCTCTGCTGAACGAACGCTTCCACAGTTGATCTTCGCTATTTTTCTTCCGCAGCAGGTTCGGGCTACGTGATTAATTTCAGATAGCTCTTTATTGTCCACCTTCCTACAATTCCGTTGCCTTCCCTCCTCTTGTTCTCCTTTCAGCACTCTCAGCCGCACTTCCTCCTCCTCATTGCGGTCCTCTTACAACACTTCTACTTTTTCTTCCTTCAATTACCTTTTTAGTACAATTAATTAATTATTGATAATGAAGTAACGAAGCCCGAGTCTTAAATACTTTTTTTAAAAAAAAAGTTCCCATTCTCTTTCAGCTGAAAATTGCTATCACCAACAGTAGGATGTACATAGTATCAACTTCGCTTTCTCGAATTCTCCTCTACGTGTCACGTGCTGGAGTAGCCAACAAAACGTGCAATGCTCTTTTACCATTTTTTTACTCATCACCCATCAGTGTACGCGTGTTCCCCTCGCTCTTGCTGTCCAACTTCCTCCATTTCAACTTTTCTAGCAACGAAATTCCAGCTCTAATGTGGGTCAACTAGCAAGCCCACGCTCTCGCCCCTTCTCCAACCTTCTGTCCCTCACTCGTTTGTGTGTGTGTGTGTCTGTGTATGTCGATGTTAGCTACTACCTATGTCTTTATACACACACACATTTTAGTTATCTCACTACAATTATTGTACGTATATTACATCGATTTTTTACAGCATTCAAAATTGCGTTTTAACTTTGGCCTGGGAGGGGAGAAGATGAATTCAGCGATAGAGTTAGCCAACGTTACCGCTTGTAGAACCCTGGTGACAATTTTTCGGACTGAGGCCGGTGATAGCATTCACAGGAGCCACGAAACGATATGCGTCGACTCAGCATGCTTAGACAGCCGTTTTGCCTACCCGAAAGCCTAGTTAGCGTTGTCTGGAGCCACCAATCTTGGCCCTGCGCGATTGTCCCTACGTCCCCACGTGCCCTCCCTACTTCATAATCCGTAGCACATGTGCACAAAAGGGAGACGTGCAGTGCTGAGCACGACAGTTTTTTCGTGTACAGACCGGTTGTAACCATGTTTGTGCATGCCAGCGTGGCTGTTTAAAAAATTCACCCTCAGGTTAGCCTGTTCGGACAAGCCCTTACAGGCGCATGGTTGAGAAATGTGCTGAAAACGCCTAGAGTCACTAGTCAAAATAGGGTGGAGCCACGACTGCGGTTCGCACGCTCCTGGTGCCCGCTCAGACAATCCTCATTAAACGTCAGCGGCCTGGAAAACTGAATGTGGTTTGCATTTTTTGACCGACATTTGTTCGCCTCTGTTCTGTGGAGGGCATCGAGGGATTGAGTTAAATGAATACGGTTAAAACGCTTAACTTGCTTTAACCTAAAAATTCGATGGACAGAGGTACTCCATTTTAACCGAACACAGGATCTTGGTATGGCTGATACCATAAATTCACTCAGACATTCACAGTGCATAAGAAATTAACTACATACTAGAACCCAATGATTTAGCGGAGCTCTCCAATGACCCTGAATTCTGGCAGTTCAAGGTCGATTCGATTTCATGGTATTAGTTGTCGCATTCTGGAAGCTCAAACACTTGGAAGCAGATCTGTACATGAATGATGTTCAGTCACAGGAGGTAAAGCTGGCCAGACTTCCCTTTTGCATAGTATCAAGGTTCCATTTTACTAGGTCTCTAAAGTAAACACCATCCACATTCGTAAAATATACCACATGATCTGTGAACAGTTCCAATTATGGATGAGCAGACGCCCACAGGCATAAGGTTCAGTCTGCTGTAATAATGAAATCATGGGCTCATGTGAATATGCGTGTTAAGCCAAAGGCGTTTCAAGCATAAGCGAAGGTTAGGTGTCACTGCCAGGGTGGGGAATCTTGCGTCCATGTTTAAGACGCTAGCCGCAAGATCTAGGTGGCAGGCACCATGAACACATCTAAAGGACTGCCAATTACGTCTCTTTCAATAGGAATGGAGATAATTTGTGGCCGTGTTCACGTACATCGTTTGGTGCTTGAGAAAACCAGAGGTACCGGGCAGTGTAATTAGATTAGGTCATAAAGTACATAGGGGATGCTGCATGCAATAATGCATTTGATTCTCATTGTGATAACGAGAGGAACAGGTGCTCGGATAACAACTGTAGACTACTTTGTAAAATGCCACTGGTATTGTGGAGGCAAACTTGAAAATTGCAGACTAAAAATAACAGAAAATGGCTTTGTTTGCATAAATTACATCAGCGTGCCGAAGAAGAACATGGGTAGCACAAAAGTCGTTTGCTTTTGCAAAGCGCGTAACCCTTGATTAATGCCACCTACGTGCCCGTGACTCTCAGGTGTGTTGGTCAAGCTCATTACTGCACAGGAACGCGGGACTCCGCTAACTTGCGATTCTGGGGTTTAATCACCCTCCACAACTATTACTGCCTCTGCGCGCGCCAGGATGGCGATGAATCTGCCACAACGTGTACAAACCCGACGAGGAAGTGCCCTTTATGGCATGTTTAGTTAGCTTCCGGTCCTGGCACTTGGTAGAATTTTTACAATCGCCACAACTTAGTTCGATATTCACCAATGAAATCATAAACCACGATGCCTAGTTAGGCCCACCAACACCTACAATCCTGCCCCAACACGTGAAAACAGAACTTTCCGTGTACGATGGACTAATTTTTAAGGAAAGCGATTTTATCTCACCAAGTACGCACCCTGAATAATCGTTTCTATCACTCGTCGCAATCTGTTTGGAAAATTAGGATTTCAATGACCTGGGAAGTTAGTAAGGTTCGAAGTAAGAAATTTGCAGAGGCTCAATGCAAAGCATTTCATTTACTTCCAAAAGACGATAAAATCCGTTATAACTTCGATTAAAAAATCCTTATTTTGAAAAAACCATTATTTTGAAGGATCATTGTATGCGTAAAAGGCAGCCTTGATGAACCGCTCCAATGAGGAATGCGGAGTCCTTAGTCGAGCGGCTTAATTAACGCACGCTGAGTGTTGTCACGTAAACCAGCCTGCCTGTCTTCACCAGCTTTACAAATAAAATTAAGGAATAATTACAGGTGGTAAATGCTCTACCCCTATACTGTTTTGACGCAAAAGTGAATTGATAACGTCAGCCCCAGTTCCGTGTTGCAAAGTACTACTGCGTTATTTCGCATGTGGATTGGACAGTAAGCAACCTAGGCGCAGACACGCAAGGCTTAATCAGAGAGCCAGGGTTGGTTTAGTAAGCGATTCCCCACTGGTCACGTAGCAAGAAGAAGGAGGGAAAGTTAAAACATTTTGTGAATAGCAAAACGCCTACGAAGTAAAGAGGGCGTTATAGAAACTATGGCCCATGGCACAAGGCTTTATGGCGTGTATGCACACCGACATTTCGAAGTGCCCCTAGTTTTAATTGGAGTGCTGTCAAATCCATTCTTCCTCAAGAAAATTGGATTACTTTTTAAAGAAATATTTTGCGGGTTTGGCTTTTTGATCGCAAATTACTAGTGGCAGTGCTGCAATACAAGGATTTTGGGTGACTGCACGTCTCCACTGGCGATGGGAGCGGAATTGACTGATGCTGAACCGTCGTCAACACATTTTCGCTTAATCGGCTCAGGTGAAACCTGAACTGCAGTGTTAGTGCAGTTTATTAGCGCCAACTACACGAAAGAACGTGGGACCTCGAAGGAGTGCAGTGAACTGGGAAAATTGAGGGTTTATGAAAAGCGGAGACAATTGCTCTGTCATCTAGAATCATTATCGCACAAGTTACCAGATAATTGCGGAATTATAGTGATCCTGGATGATGTTAAGAATCTTGCTGCATTGGATTCAATCGATATTGAAAGTGAATGCTGCGGGTAGTTACCATAAGGCCGCACGTACAGAAATTTAATTCGAATCCGCTTCTCAGAGGAGGACAGGCACTTTGCTGATACCTCGATGTTGATCCATACACCATCAATCTAGTTCACCTGCCAGTCCAGTTTGAGCTGAATTCACAAAAAGAGTGCTGGTGGCTTTAAGGAATAGCATGGCTGACCAAAAATATGGGGAGAGTAGAAAATGTACGTAATTGATGCGGGAAATTGAAAAGGTATGGGCAACTCTTGAAAGCACGGTGGTCCACACAACTAGTCATCCCACGGCCTCTAATGTGTGCCAATGAAGGGATTACGAGGCGCCTAGACTTAGAGTTCAAAGTAGAACACTTGCTGGCAAGGCTCTGTCCTCTCACAAGTGAGAACATGCACTTGGAAATGTTGACTACGTTAAGGTCAGGATTGGAATCTATGACCGGCGACGTGGGCCCCGTCACTGTACCCGAGGCTGCGATAATTCACACATTTAGGGCATTTCAAGCGCAATAAGCATTGGAGGTGAAGCCACCACCACGCTGTTCAGAGAGGCAAACAACAGAGCCTACGTACGCCCCCTAATCTACAGTGAGTACAGAGCTCAGAAGTGGCATGTAAGGTGAGTCTAAAGCAAATGCGAGGAGTTTAACTCATTAGAAGCAGGCAGGTTCTTCCCACGACACACCACGAACGCACAGTAACGGCAGCAAGACTGTTGTAAGATTGGAAACCGTCTAGCACACGAGTTTACGGTAATTTAGCTTACTCTAGGCTCTGTTCTTTAGTGGCTTGCTTAGAACTACTTTGCAGCCCTCCAGTTAACAGTCCTCGAAAAGAGAGACAAGACAGTGGAAGTGTCTTAGCGTGTGGATGAGTGAGCTGGTCACACATAAACGATTACAGTAACAAATGTAACAGTGATGAGTCAGTAACAACTTCAGGTTAGTAAACGGGCTCCACCCAGACATGACCGCTGATAATCCGCTACAACCCGTATCTGGAGTCACCTCCGGCACTCTGATATCGAAACCTCCAGCAGCAACAACTCGTTGAGGCGTGGGCTTGGACAGCAATTGAGGGAAGGTGTGTCCCTCATACGAATCATATCGACGTCCAGAATCGCCTGTGACATCAAATACACCGTTCAATTCTGGATTGGAACTGCCCACAACCCGGACCACTGAAAGCCACCAATTGGATCTCACCGTCACGAGTGAGGGGCGAATTGGCAAGCAGAAAGTGAATGACATTTATGTTGAAAGGTTAATAATGACGAGCACATGACCTAATTAACACGGCCAACGTATCTATAAGAATTCGACGATTCTATAACAAAATGATACGTTTATTTGTACAGCCAGGTCTTGATGAATCTTTTAACGTTTGAAAGGAGAAGTTGTGATAGTTACAAATGGGATGCGGAGAACAGTGGCGTTAAAATTGATTGGGGTTCGAATTCACCATCATTCGAGGAGCAATTGACATGGACATCAATTCCTGGAATAGGAGTTTGCAGGCATACGGAAGGCCGACCATGGATATCTACAAAAGAAAAAATGTTGCTTGAAAAACTACAGGACGGTGCTACAATAATCAAGGTATTTATCATGTTGATGGCCACAAAATAAACTCCACAGTTGAAAACACAATTTAATTATGGATTAACAGCTTCGAATAATGAATGCAACAAGTGTCTTTATTAGTGACTGCTGTGACATTCGATGAGGTAAATTTGAAAAAGAAGGATTGGCCCTTGAGCATCCGAACAAGAAACAGGGTCAACAATTATTCCCCTTGCTAACGGGCGCACGAAAGAGTAAGGCAGAAGTGTATGAAATCTCGTAAATATGAAAAGTCACTTTAACGTCGATAAACTACCGCTTCAAACCGTTATGTGTGGCAACTTGTTTTCCACTAGAAGAGAAATTATCATGAAGATGTGTTGCAGTTAAACTTTTTTCCGGCATTTGGATCTCGAGAGCATGATTTATTATGAAACTTGATTGACTGAAGACAATCTTATTTCGAATCACTTGAAAAGACACAAAAGCAGGATTGTGTTGGGGTGAAAGGCGGGTGATTTTTTGCGTTTTACCGGGCACGACAGAAACACGTTTTAGGGATAACTCTGACCGTTGTGGAGGCATGTCTGGAGGGTAGCAGGTGTAGCCACCACATGCACTTCGGTGATTCGGATTTACGCAGATGCCACAACTACCAGCATGGCGAAGTTCGTCAGCACAGAACCAAGTGATCCTGCCTCTTTGTCGTTCCGAGCAATGCCACCACACACACACGCACTCAAAATTTAACAAAGGGACCGTCTAGCCTGACCTGTGAACTGCGACAAAATCACACGACGTCGTAAAAACGCTGCTGCCTTCTTGCTACCGATCACGGGATGACATCCTAAACACCTCTGTCGCCTAATGAGCTGCAAGACAAGGGATGTTGGCAATCATCACAAGGTGAAGGGATGATGGGCCACTTTAATTTACCTTTCCTGATTTACGCAATGTAATGTGCATCACGCATTTTCACAGAAAGGCGAACGGGTACCTTAAACGGTGACTTCTCGCACACACATTGACACGACAAGCCCTGAAATCGACGACGAAACCATTATGGGACACTAGCAACCTTTCACACACGCGCGCACGCGCCTAGGTAGATGATCAAACAAGACGGAATGGACATCAACTGGCAGTTACACTATTGCGCTTTGTAGGAAGTCAGGTTTCCTGGTACAGATTGGCTATGTCATGATTCCAAGGTCAAATTTACCACAAAGTAGTGGCACTCAGGCTGGAGAAAGCTAACCCTCCGGAGATGGACAATTCAATCAAATCGCCACGTAAAACGTGATTCCACTTCCTTCCGACCCAAACAATGCTCCACTTTGTTATTGAAATCAATAACCAGATGAAGTCCAAGGCTAATGCACTATACATCCCATCGTTCGATTGCCATTTGACACAAGGGACGTGATCGAGCACCCCTCAACGCAACAGCATGCTAATCCACGCAAAAAATACACGACACGAAAAGGACTCCACCATCACGTATTTTTGCCAAAGGGTGGCTACCAGTTGCCATGGTTTCCGGAGCGTGTTCGCACCAACACAGTGTCACCGAAGCGAACGCGATTAGCATTTGCCATGCGTTGGCATAATAACGCATGTTGAGAACACACAGCTATTTACACCCGCCAAGCATCGATTAGGAGTGTGTACTACGAGTTTGCTTCTAACAAAAGGTAATAATTCAGTTACTACACTAATGCCGGAAAAAAATTCTATCAGCCATTTGGCCTGTACTGTTGGCAAGACTTCCGTTTGCTAATGCAAAGAAAAGAAACTAATTTTAGGGCCTAGGATGAGGTAGTCACAGAGACTGGACTTACCGACTAAATAAAAACAGGCTCCCACTCACATGGCTATTTATGGCGTTTGCGTATTCAAAGTCCATAGGCGCGAAACACATCAACACAGGCCAGATGATGGCTTAATTAACTTGGATTCACCTACTTTTCCCGCAATTTTCACCTACGCACCAACTGAACCCACTCTACACAGCCTACTAGCGCATAAAACATGATGGAGTGAATTTGGGTGCAGATTAATGGACAGATTAGCTGCAAAGGTCAAGCAATGTGCCGTAACCAGAATGTCTTGTTTGCACCCGAAGCTACCAGAATGGCGTTGCTAATATGCCTCTGCCATTCGATTTGCCCTTTCCGATTTACAACAAATTAAACATTTAGGGAAAGGCATTAGCTTCGTTTGGTGGTAGGAAATTACCATTACCCACACTTACCCATTCAAAGTGCCGGGTGAACCTAGTTTTACTGTTAAAAATGAGCTAGGGCACTTTCCGTGAAACTTTGAACGAAGGAACGAGGACATTCATCACACAAAGGACATTTACCACTGAAAAAAGCAGGAAATAACTTGTGAGATCAACATGAAACATGCGATTCTGGTTGGCTCACTCACCTGCTGGGGGACCATTTCAAATCCAATGTAACTCGTGCAAGATTACTTACACGTCCCTCCTCAGCATTCCACGATGATTTCGCCAGGAAACAGAATGCTACTGACTGGAGCACAGGCCACAGATTAAATGCACTGCTAAGGTTTCAAACGCTAACTTATACACTAGGTTGAGGCACATGCTACTGCAGCTAACCAGACTCTGAATCTTTTAATTTATAGAAACATCAAGACAGCAACTGATGCATAAAAAATGACTAACTTGAGTTGTATTCTGGCAGGCGGTACATTCATACGTCTTGTTTCTTTGGTGCGCGACAGCCATTAGACCGCATAGGTTGCACACACAGACTTGGTACGGGTCACTGGCAAAGAAGAGACGCTCCCGAAGAAATTGCGCCGCTCCATGGGCAATCTGACAGTCCCGCTCCATCTCCCCGAACCGCAGACCACCGTCGCGACTGCGACCCTCCATGGGCTGGCGGTTGAGGATCTGGACGGGGCCACGGGCACGCGAGTGAATCTTGTCGTCTACCATGTGCTTGAGACGCTGGTAATAAGTCGGACCAAGGAAGATTTGCGAGTTTAGCTTGCGACCCGTAAAGCCATTGTACATGATCTCGTTGCCCGTGTGCTGGTAACCGTACTCCTGGAGCAGAAGTGAGATCTTGCGCACGTTCACGGCGTCGTTGAAGGGAGTCGCATCACCGATCTCGCCCTTGTTTGCGCTGACTTTGCCCTGCGCAAAAAAATGCAAATGCTTGGGCATTACAGAAATGCATCTACCCAACACCGCAGTGGCTTGTTAGGTTGAGCTGGGGATGACTCAAATAGGTGCAAGCATCTCATAAACTGTGGAAAATGCCACTGTTCACACTAGCACACTAAAATACGTCCGCACGCACCACGACAAGTTACCACTTCATTCAACTAACCATTGGTATTTTACAAGCAGATTCGAGACCTGGGAAATACTGCAAAATCGACTTGGGTCATGGTACTACCGTAGTCCTGTGGTACGTTCACACTTTATGGCCAAGCAACATGGATGCGGGAAATGGGTTGGAGATTCCGTGTGGACACAAAAGCCAACCTGCAGGACTTGACTTTATGTTCGCCTGCTAGTGTGCAGAATTAGTTCCTGGTGGGCACACAAATCGACCTTCGTGAACCACGAGGCAACAGATTCGAGGTTTTAGTGAAAACAGAACACAAGATTTTCTTAGTACGAAGACATACATACGTCTGGGTTAATCTCTAAAGACAAACCACACAATGGTCAACATCAAGGCGTATGAACAGGTAGTGGATATTTTACCGGTCTAAACAGGGGAACACTTTTGAATTTCAGGATACCCATTCGCACAGGTGTTGCAAAACAGAACAACGCCAACGTTAAATAGACTTAGTGTCTACCAGCCTTCTTCACGTTACGACACGCAAGACCACCACCGCCGCTTGCACGGTGGGTGGGAGCACAATATGACGTCGTCGATTTCGTCTAGGCCACAAACAAACTAGAAGCAGCACACGAAGACTTGTTTTCTTTGGAAAAGCATACTACAACGACTTGTCAAAACCCTAAGAGATATTGGCGGTATCACCAAGCTAGCATGATACGCGTATTTACTCCAGCCAGTGACAAGTTTGGCTGTTTGGTGTTGGAGGAAGAGACCGCGGAATAAGGCATAGATAGCAGCCTCACCTGAAGGCACTCGATCAAGTGGCCGATTGTCATTCGACTGGGAATGGCGTGGGGGTTGATGATGATGTCGGGAGTGATGCCCTCGCACGTGAAGGGCATGTCCTCCTGGCGGTAGAGGATGCCGCAGGTGCCCTTCTGGCCGTGGCGCGAGGCGAACTTGTCGCCCACCTGCGGCGTCTTCGTGGTGCGAACGCGCACCTTGCAAAACTTGTTGCCTTCGTTATTCCACGTGACCATCACCTGGTCCACAATGCCGTACTCGCTGCGGCGCATAAAAACGGAGGCGTCACGCTTCGTGTAGCGACGATGACCCTCGTCCATCTAGAGGCGAAATAAAAAAAAACAGACTAACAGAGTTTAAGTAGCAATGGGAGCAAAATAGAGCTGATCAGGGGTAATATTCGGAGGCGACTTGAGCGTTAAACAGATCACGTGGACCAAGCATTTAGATCTTGGCACAATAAACATAAATTACTTGCGGGGCGATTCAGCAGATTTGAAATAATTTACTACTATTGGAAATAAGTAACAATACAATAACCCAAAATAATGTAGGCAAGAATATTACACCTGAACAAGCTTTTTCAAAATTGACAGAGATAACCGTCCTAACGTACAATTTAATGGATTAATGAAATGGAAAACACGGAATACCTACAGATTATTATGGGCGAATAACGACAAGCATAACGTGACACGAACGACATTTACAGAACATTTTTGCCGCACCGAATTGCATCCAAAACCGCATGTCAAGCTCACGAATCGAGAGTGGAAAGCAGCTACCTCGACGGGAATTAAGACAGAAAAGGAATATAAGGGAATTTACTTCAATTTACGGGGGGGGCATTAATATGACGTGCCCTAAAATCGATTACAAGGGAGGATCTACAGCAAAAAGTCGCGAATCTAAAGGAAACGACGGTGTAACGCGTAGGTTTTTACGATGGCATTGGTGGGATGTGCAAACCACACCGAGGGGTAAAGCATGACGGGACACTGGCAGTCAAGTTCTGTAACGACGGTTGCAATGTCTGCATGTGTGCACACAATGAAGTCAGTGTAGTTAAAGACAGGATAACGCCCAAAATTAAACTAAAAGTGATTTGACACAACTGTTGTATTCACGAAGCCTGTCATCTCAACAACCTTAGTCTACAGAAGACGGTAGAAGTTGGTTTCATGCCCAATCACAAAAAACGTCGCACAGTAGCCAGTATCTAATCAAGCATTTCACACGACTCCTGCACGCCAACTACGAACACGGGTATTCCTTTAAATGCATAGAAGTATCACCAAGATTTCCTAGGTACAGAGCACTTCGGAGTTATTAAAAAAAGAGGTGTCTAAAGGAATTTCGGCCTTTTCAAAACAAGATAGTGGTTTACCTGAAGGGACTTTGAATGTTTCACCAACACATGTTTTTGGGGAGGTTTCATGGAATTGTAACTACATTTAAGCAATCAGCTCAGGTTCGAGTCCAGTGCTACAGAGGTGCCGGACTCGAAATATGGGCGTTTCGGGAATTCAGAATACAGAGACAAATAAAATTGACTAGACCGAGCATGTATTTACGAAAGTGCTTGCATTATAGCCGATTTAGGTTATGAGTGATGGAAAACAGGCAACCCAGTTCAACCACTGCATAAGCCCGCACAGTTTGATGCGCTCGAGAACGAAGCGGTGGTTTGGATTGCAACGCGAGCAAGCAGAGGCTTTAAAATTTGCTATACAAAAAAGGGAAAGCAAACCTCATCTTCGTTTTCTGGCAGAGAAATAGTCTTCCCAATCAGCACGTCGTCACCGGACACACGCGTTCCAGGAGCGATGAGACCGTCATCGTCCAACTTATCATAAATGGCGTGTCTCATTCCCTGACAAGTTTGTGGGTCGGGTTTCTCAAACACCTCCTCCTGATCCATCCCATGTCTTGCTTCTTGGTCTTTGTAGGTTCGGTAGAACTCGGACCGGAAGAACCCACGCTGGATTGCGCTCTCATTTACAATTAAGGAGTCCTCCTGGTTGTACCCTGTGTAACAAGCGATCGCTACAATGGCGTTGATGCCAGCGGGCAGTTCTCGGAAACGAAGGTACTCCATGGATCGCGTCGTGACCAACGGCTTTTGGGGGTAATAGAGGACATTCGAGAGAGTGTCCATGCGCGTGTGGAAGTTGGAGATGTACACACCCATAGCCTGTTTGCCCATGGCGCTTTGGTAGGTGTTACGGGGAGACTGATTGTGGTCACAGAAGGGGATGATGCTGGCACAGATGCCAAGAATCATGCTCGGGTGAATCTCGCAGTGGGTGTGAGTCTTGCAGTAGTTAACGGCTGCTTGCATTTCGGCCGGACCCATTGCAATCATAGCTGTCTCCTCCTCAAGGGTGTCAATGTACTCAACAACGCCACTCAGCACAAGGTCTTGCCAGCTAGACAAAGATTGAAGGTACGATAAAACCAAGTACACTTTTCAGTCGTCACTTTAAGGGCGCCGAAAAAAACGCACAACCATATATTTAGTTTCAGATGACTCAAACTATGAAATAGACCAAGTACCTACTGTAAGAGATCTTGACTGTTTGGTGGAGGCTTCAAAGCACGACATTTTGAACCACAACAAACACAATACAAAATTGCAACATCGGTTCAATGACAGTTTAACGTGGAAATCAAATAACAAACCGAAAAGCCATAGCGAGGGAATAGCCCTAAGGCAAGTTAGCAGATAGAATGTAAAATAGAAAAATAACTAACCTATAGCGATTATACGCCTTTTCTTTGAGCATCTCAATATGGTTTCGCTTAAGCATAAGCTTGCCTTTTTCAACAATAACTAGAGGACGACAAATTCGACCAGCGTCAGTATAAATCCGGATTTCTTGATCGCGATAATCTCTGACCATGCTGACCTCACTAACGATAACATCAACTTGACGGCGCAATTTTCGCAATGTAACCATAAGGTGGTCTGGAGAGTTGTGTATTCCAACCCAACATCCATTGACAAATATTTTGCAAGTTCTAAAGAAAATCGACCATCGATCAATAAACAAAATCCTACTTTCCGATCGCAGAGGGTGCAATTTCTTCTAAATTATCCATGCTCCACTCCTCAAGAAATTCAAGGATAGGAGATGGCTGACTTCCAACGGATATGTAGGCCATCAGGGCCAGGTTCTTGACAAGACCAACAGCAGAACCTTCGGGAGTTTCGGCCGGACAAATCATACCCCACAGGGTGTTGTGTAGCTGACGGGGTCTAGCCAACTTCCCGTCTCTACCAATGGGGGAATTGAGACGACGAAGATGAGAAAGTGTGGAAGCAAATGTAAGTCGGTTGAGGACCTGAGAGACACCCGGTCTGGCTTGATTAGCTTTCTTCTGGTCGCCCCAGTTGCCCGTGGCGAGGGAATACTTCAACCCATCCGTAATGATTTGACTGCGAATGGCGTTTTCTAGGTTGAAATCCTTGCCCTTGTCAATGAATTTCTGGGCATACATCCGAATTTCCTTGGTCAAATTACGGAATAATCCACGGAAGAGAAAAGCAAGCAAAGGACCAGCGAGGTCCAATCGCTTGTTTCCATAGTGGTCTCTGTCGTCGACGTCACGTCGCTTGAGCGCGGTAAGGAGAAGACGATGTACCATGTAACCGAGAAAGAAAGCTTTGCGAGTATCACAATAGTCGGAGATACCAACGTGGGGAAGCGTTTCCTTCTGCAAAATCTCCTTGGCATACTTGATACGCTTTTCCTTAGTCACACCAGGTCTTGCACCACGGGAACCAATAAAGTTGAGAGCGACTTTTTGGTCTTGGATAACAAAGGCTTCATCTAACGATGGTTTGATCATTTCACGCATTTCGGTGTCCTCAAAGTCATAGATGATATGCTCTAAGATGTCGCGATCTGCCACGAATCCGAGAGCTCTGAAGACAATAAGAACTGGGATTTCCTGTTTGATGTAAGGCAGAATGGCGACGATACGCTGACCGATTGTAGCCCTTTTACTGCTGTCTTTGCCACCACGGGCCATCATGTTAACCCAAAATGTGCTGGCTGGGCGGGAGCTATGTTCCAAACACGACCTAATTTCAGTTTTGTATGCATATTTGCTGTCTTTTTGCTGGAAAACATAAACTAATGCTGTGAGGAAACAATTAACAACAAACCAGTGTTTGTTGCCATCTTCTCTTGAGCTATAAGAACCTTCTCCGAACCATTTATAATGAAGTACCCACCAGGATCAAGGGGGCATTCATTGAGTTCGGCTAGATCACGGTCGCTCATTACGGCCAGAATGCAATAACTCGACCTAGAACAACCGTTAGAAGACGTCCACTTTACCTTAACATAATTGGAATTTTTCCAATAAATTTCTTCTCAAATTTCTTTTCATCTTCATAACCATCGCGAGTAACCTTTTTGACGACGTCAACATAAAGAGGAGCAGCGTAGGTTAGGTTTCTGAGACGTGCGTCATTCGGCGTCATTGGAGCTGAGGAACCATCTTTTTCCCAATGTGTTGCTTTGCTAAGATAAATTTGTTCAAATCGAAGGGCATATTGGACCTAGCTCAATCAAATATCAAAGAAAGAATTACCGGTTTTTCAATCATGCCACCAGAGTACTGCGCCTCTGCTTGAAACTCTATAACTGGAGAATCTTCAACTATTTTTTGAACAGAAGTTTGAATGAACTCATCGAACGAGTCCAACTGTTGCCTAACCAAACCCTTTTCGTCGAAATAACTGCTGATAACTATCCAACAGGCTTCCTGCCACAAATCTGGAGTTATCTCGTTATCATCGCTATCTTGGATGTCTTCCTGCATCGGAATACCTTCCATGTCATCATCTTGAAAATCCTCGAGACCCTCCTCGACATAATAGGCTTCTAAATTGACAAAATGCAAGGACAAACTCAAAGCCTACCAGACATCTCGAGAGCGTTCTCAAGATGAAGACTTAAACAAAAGATCATTATTTGCAATTTTTATCTCCTGAAAACTCCTAACAGTGTACAAGAATCTAAAAATAAAAGAACTATTTGATTTAGAATTTCGAAACACTCTTTACAGTGTCAATTTGAGCAAACATTTAGTTGAAATTGATCGAGTCCTAAATAGCCTAAATTAACGGAAGATTGTTTGCCTGGACAAAACAGCAAATACTCGTGAGCGAAACTCTAATATGACTCTACAACCTCAGGCAAAATTTTAATTTGATTTGTCAACTTAATATGATGTAATACTTGGCTACCAGCATGCCTAAACTTCGTACTTCGTTCTTGAGTTATCATACTTATTACATGACACATAAAATCATATCAAATTGTGGTGAACATTTGCCAGTAAATTTTAGTACAAAGCAACTATCAAAAACTTATGATGACTTAAAATAAGCTATTTGTTCTGTTGGGATATTCGTCTACTTGAAGAACTAACTAGTATCATTAACAAAAACGGTTTTGAACAGCTGTAAAAGGTAGCTTGGTTACTAGTGGTTTTGGTCCACGTGACTTTAATTCTTTCTTAATTCAAAACAACGGAAAAAGCCTACCAAACAATTTGAAATGCCGAAAGATCTGATTTGCAAATATAAGATATTTTTACAACAGATAGCTGCGTCTGTACTAGTTAAGTCACCTTTTATTTACCGTGAACGCTTTCCATCATCAATTATGCTGAATCAAGTGTCCGACTCCCAGTGAAGCCTAATCTGCTGCGTGTGCCCTTGTAAGTCTGCAAACTTGCTAATAATTCTGACTAAAAGAGATATGACTTGCGAGGCATGATGTTTTCAGTTATAACCACCATAAATTTAGCCTCATAAGATATATTTAATGAAAAGGTTTAAATTATTACACCACAGAAATCGGAGCGTATCAAATATTACCCTGTATGACGAACAATGCACAAGGATAGCAGGAAATATTTCCTTGACGTTGACAATCCTAATCCAAAGTAGCTTTACATAAAATTTTGCCTGTCACAGGTTTGATCGCTGTATAGGCTACTTTGGCTTACATTCCACCGTCACTATCATGCTTGGAACCTAACCGTGAATCAGCGATAGCTTTACACATTAATTCTTTCGAGTGCCTTTTCTCATCTTAGCTTTGGCATTGCCTTTTTCACATATAACAGGAGGGATTACTAACTTCCATATAAGCAAATTAATTTGTTAACTTCCTATATCGGTTCATTTTAGCCACTAATCAAAAATTCAGTTTTGGCAGGCGATTTCAGCTAATGTTGTAGAGATATTTTTAGGAACCACCTCAGGATGACGCTATCGTTCAAATTAATTAATATTTTTGCTGCCTGCTTGCCACAAGCATAATTTTCACAGCAAATTCCGTGTGTCCTAATCAAATTTGACGTAATTTTAATACGTTGCGTTTGAGTTGATGAAATGGAATTCGAACTGGTGTTTCACACTCACACACGCCTTCTTTGGAATGCTTGGAAGTCGGCTATTTATGACTAAATAATGTTGGCATTCATGTAACTGATTTCCAGAGATTTGGAATGGTTAAAATGTGATTTTACTCTGAATTTAACTTATTTTTAAAAAGATTTATACTTGGTGACTTTTCACATAGGTAGCATATGATGTGTCATGAATCTTGTGAACCTGAATTAAAACTGACATTTATAAAATTTTAATCACTTCAATGCTGAGAGCAATTTTTTGTTTTACGACGTACTAGGACCACAATAACTTATCGAAGCAAATAATGAACACTGAAACTACATTATTCCCCTCCCGATGGCATGTATCCTAACTTGAGACTTTTGGTAGATCGTCGACGAGTAAACACGACCCAACTCCACAGACGGTAAACATACTTTAGACGCCCAAGAGTGCGAGGCTTCTTGCACGCACCGGGCACATCGCCACACCCACTACAAGCACTATTCAAAGCCCCGAACATACACGCAATAACACTCAGAGGTTACAAGGTAATACTTTTGCCATACGGCAAGTTGGACGGATTTCTCTCATGAAATTTATCTCCTCGGAAATAAAGCGTTCCCGAGGTGAGCATAACACTGCACTCCGTTTCTATCGGCTAGTTATTCGGGGTTAAATTTGATAATAAATCGATTTTTTGTGGGGTACTTGGCTGGTGGCAAAAAGGCTCATGATTGCAGGTGATTGGTCAGTGTATTCGCCCACCCAAACAGATTAGGCATTCAAAATTGAACGAATAATGAATTTGTGCAATTCATTGGGGCATCACATTTACCAGAGAGAGAAAGAAAACCATGTAATAACCACTGTTCTATCATTACAAGCTGTTACGTGAGGTTTTGAAGATTTGTCATGGCGTACTCAATTATGGTTGAAAATGGTTGCTGCAAGGGAACCTGATTTCCGCCACCATTACACACCTAACGCAATGGCATCAAAAGTTTAATTAAATCAACAAGGCAGACAACAGGGGGTGCAACACAGCCATGAAAAAGTCGCTGAGGGTCTCGTTGGAGGACGAAACATGCACTTACGGGGATGTCATCTACTCAAATATTCCATAGGAACTTTCAGCGCCTCGTTGAAGGCGACTGCACTAACCCAAAGTGCCTGTGTGAGAGGAACCTGAGGAGCATGACATCGCCTTCATTGACTGCGACTTCCGTGTAAACAGTATTTGTTCGTTTAAGACCGGTTCCCCCCTTCAGATAAACACGCCAAGATTAATTGCGTAACACAATAAGTGCATTTCGATAATGTAATCTGTTTTTAGCATCAATAGTGATACGAATGCATGTGTGTTTTATCATGAAACAGTAGAAACAAGCCAACAATAATGGCGTCATTACAAACTAATTAGGGAGTTGGCCGTAGTTAGTTTTGAATGGAGCGAACGAATTCGAAACCGTGTGTGGCAGATTAGTAAAACAACGAGGCACAAACACGAAGAAATAACACGGTGACGCGACATTTCTGTGCAGCTAAAGGCAATGACAAGAGGGACCCCAAAGAGGCTGATGCAGGTCTCTTCATTTTGCCTCCTGTTATTTTACATCCTGAATATTGTTCCTCCCACCGAATGTCTCAATTCATTCACACGACTGTCCTGACCTACTCTCTTAGCATTACCATTGTACCTGGTGCCCGTAAACGTTATTAGTCTAAATGTTAATTACTTACAGCTCAAAGGTTTTTTAAACTCAAGAACCTCTGTCATTTAATGCATAAAATTGTCTTCGAGAATTCTGCAGAAGGAATGTATCTAACAGGATATTCAAAAAGTTTGAGCACTAAATAAGTAATATTTTCGAACATAGTTTGTATCACTGAATGGAATGCAAGTGCTTTTCAATGCAACGGTAACTCCTATCAAACTAAGGTGCAAATTTATTTGAATTTCGACGAACTATGAAAAAGGAGTGGCACACTAGAAACGCTCTAATCAAAACTGGCATAAGTCTTGAAAAATAACCTCGTAGTGGTTATTAAAAGAAAGAAAGTATGCTAAAATCCTAGATCTGGCGTAAGGAGTCCAATATTTCAATGTTAATTTTCCGCTAATCAGGTCTGCGTGAGCAAATTATTTTTACTGAAGGCTGAACACGTTACACGAAAATTGAAAAAATCACAGCAGTTTAATGACGAAAACTGTGACAGAATCTGCCAATATCTACGAAATTACACCGTAGTCTTGGAAATGAAGTATTTTCAGCTACAGTAAAAGCGTTGTGTGAGAGACGGCGATTTCTTCGAAATCACATAAGTTTGCGTGTTTTGGTGAGATATAAACACGCATTGCACCACCCACTGTCCTGTCGCGATTGAATGGGTCAAATGCTACTAACAACACGCAGATGTCGTCACACCCAAAGACATCACAAGCACTTTAATCGGCAAATTTTTTTCGAATAGACTGATGACGTAGATTGAATTGATTGGATACAATGAAATATCTGAAGAAGTAACGTCGAGATAACTACCGAGAAGCATGACTTGGGTTAAACCCTAACAAATAGACTAAATGGGTTGAAATTTATGGATAGACATGGTTGGGCGTTAAGTGTATTCGTCCACTTAAGAGCTGTAAAGTCACCTTCGCACCTTTGGTTTTAAGGTTTAAGACTTTCATCCTCCAATCCGCATAACAGGTGTCGAAAACGTTACACCCTCCTTCCCTCTTCTTCTGCCGCTAACTTACCTAAAGATACTTCAGTGATTTAGGTATGAAAAGCATACTGATTTTCGGTTATCGGATCTCACAATAGTTTGGAGTTTTCCTTTCGTTTTTGTTCTATACGCATGTATGGTTGTAATACTTTTGGCAAAAGCTGAAGCTTCACGTCCATTTGCACAAGCAAAAGTATGATTACTGTTTAAGGTACAACTAATATACTGAATGTGTTTCAGGCGTTAAGATCAGACATCCGCAACCCCCAGAAGCACTAATTTCACTGTCAACCCTCAGGACTAGTTACTTCGGCAACATCGACTTTTAGTAATTGAGGTTGGCTTCATTGCTGAGACATGAATCTTCGTGAAAGTAGGCTTTGTCAAAGGAATGCTGGTAAATGCAACAATTAAATAACAAGCCAAGATACCGCATAAACGAAGGATTTTTCAACAATTGGCAACACTTTTTATATACACAAAACCGTGTTATCAGGAGACACGAACAATAGAGGATGAAGAACTGTCCCAAAACTCCTCAATTTAGGTGATAGTTCCCCCGTAATCAAATTGCAACTTTCTTCTCAATGCAATAGATGTTGACGCCTTCAGTTGTGCTGATTAATCTGTTCACAATGAAACCGATTTTTGTGCATGATCTGACTTATGCCGCAATTTGGGTTGTGTTATCACAGAGAGAATCTATCGTTTGCTACTCAGGTACTTGATTATGTCCTGTTAGCATTGTACAGTACTAGTCTCAAACTTTTAATTAGATGATACCTAAAAAATGGAATAATTAAACTAACAGAGCTACAAACCAGATATGTGATTCAGTTTTTCCAATGGGCAGACATTTTCGAGGGCACAGCAGTTCACCACTACCAATGCTACATTTGCATTTCGTGGATTTTTTTGCTGAGAACTGCGAAAGACAGGTTGGTGTTGAGTCTTATAACTGAAACTTTTATAAAACTAGACGCAATTTAAGATGCACGGAAAAATTTTCTGAGATGCTCAATGTCAAAGTCCCAGTTAGGAGTAAAGATAGTGCAGCTGTAACCATTAGGCTTTTCATCGGATCAATCTCTTTTGTCGGGACGATACTAAGAACAATTTTTTATACCAATTTCAATGTCATGTAATCGAACACAAAAAAATATGTCATGCTTGCCTAACTTTCAACAGGAAGACTGGAATCAGTGGGTTGTTATCATGAGAAGTCCGACTCTGATTTCCAAACTTAATTCAAATTTGTTGGTTTTTAATGTGTGAATTTGACGACGTATGACGTCCAGCAAAGTTGGCAAGTACACAAGAATCCTTTAAACAATTAGCCTCTTTGTAGTATGGGCGATTTCGGACTTTTTTAAACACGGAAATGTCATATTCATTTGCTTTCTTCGGATATTTAGTCAACTTATCCCACAATTGTTGACATCCAACAGATTGTGAAATAGAAATAACTAAACTGAAATTAGACTCAAAGTTCCCAAGAAAAATTTGACGATGCAAAAAAGGAAGAGCCTAATTCTTTGGCTTAAACTTCGCAGAGGGCAAACTCGAGAATGCATGCCTTTAGTGCGTAAAGTGATTTTTAGAGAAAATGTCAAAGCTTGAATAAAGCAACACTGACGGATGTTTATTTGTGCTTGTGCGCGTGCACAGCTTTTCAGTGTACGTAGATCTTGTTACTCACAGTCTAATCTGGAACAAAAAGTAAATATTTCTCTCTGGAAGGGCGGCATGCCGAACCACACCCACACTTCACAGTCGACAAAGGCGGTCCTACTTGTAACAACTAAAGGAGAGTGAATTCAGGAATGTCAGTGTCACTGTAGACTATGAGTAAATAGAAAAAAAGGGCTCACAATCAACACAAAGCACCCACCTCCGAAAATATGCCCTCAACCCCAGTGGCTTCAAGGATTCAAGCCTAGCCATAAAGTTGCATCATTGTGCGAACTGAGGAGGTATTTAAGTTGTGAGATCAGCTAGAGATGATCAGCATGTCCCGTTCCAAAATTTCTTAGCATTCGACAGCTTCGAAAAAATTATTTCGTGGTTAGCAGTTCGTTATGCTCGTCCTTCCTCGTCTGTCAATATGTCGAGTTTAAGATTGAAAGTGAAATTGTTACCTGACATGACACTGCTTCATCCGCAAGCACTTCTGATGAGTTTCAGTTCGGGAATATGCAAACCAAAGCCATTATCGAAGGTAAATATTCCCTTACTATGCCGTTATTCAAGAAAACGATGTCTGCTTTTGGACCGAAGTTTTAGACAACTGACAAATCAAGGTAAACAAGCAAGGTGGAACTCGGTAAACTTGACTCAAAACAATGCAACTCTGATATTAAACTCAGATAGCATAGACGAAATTCCCATGTTAAGGGCTAAGGTCCTTAATTCAGTGGCTCATAGTCAAGGTAGTCAAAAGGCACAACTCAAAATGCAAAGAAACAAAAAGGGCTAACTAATTCATAGCTAAAAGCTTTGTCGTGTAGTAACCGCTCCCAATGCTAAAACGCTGACTTACTATGGAAGTTCGAATTTGTTTCGTGATACTAAATTTCGCTTGAATATCGCACAGGTTGACTAATAGATTTTCCAACAACACGTGTAAATATTTATCGGTAAAACACGAATTTAGTGTGCATCAGCAGATGTCGGAGAACAAATGACAAAGTTAGGTTTAACAGACTGCGAATTCTGTTCAAAAGGATTTCACTCCGATATCGTTACTAGGGAAATGTGCTGTTTGATGAAGTACCTGTTGACAAAACACTGATGGACGACGGAATAGCGGTAATACAAATAACAACAGTTGAACTTTTATCAATGCAGAGTGACATAATAAGCATCCCCTTAGAAATCGCAGAATCGCTAAAGCGCGAAAGAAAAACAGATATGATTTACTTGTTTCTAAAATTCTATGGAAAATATTTTATAGGATTGATGCCACGATTTACGTTTACTGAACGAGAATGACATTTATAACTAACAAAAAGCTTAAAGTAGATTCATTTGGATTCTGAGGCTCTACCGTTCCAAAAACACATTACATTGGTTTCACATAGTTTATCTTTTGAAATGGCCAAAATGGGAATCGTAAATGCAGTATAGTTTTCATATTTCGGATAAACATTCACACAAGTCAATGGTTTTGACCTAGAGCCTTACAGAGGTGGTATTGTCAATTAGAAAATTTAATTAGAGCAGTGAAGGCATTTTGGTATTTTAATAGGTTTTATTGAAATTTGAAAGCCTAAGCAAAACCACAGTTCTAACCGAAACACAAAAGATCTCATTAATGGTTTAATTGAGTTTCAATCCTTTGGTCTTACCACAGACCCGGCAATTCCACCAGTCTTACATTTTGCGGATGTTCTTTGTAGATGAATTTAAGGCGCACTTGAACAATTAGCACCGGCATTGGAAATTTTGAAGCACCTCATTCCTGTTAGAAGTAATGCGACGCCTGTCTCATCATCAAATTTAGCCCTTAAAATGAAACACCAGTGGTCCCCTGGGTCGGTTCAGATTCTTTTAAACGTATCAAGGCCATAACCGAGCACAGGGCTTCCCAGTATCGCAAAATACCAAACATACGAGAATGAGTTTTATTCACGAGGACTTAATCAATATAAATAATTCCTATACAAGATGAATGGGTTGGCTAAGTTGCCTACGATTCCATTGCGCCATTTACTTAGAAGATATTACTAGAAAGACGAAGAGTGTGGAAGACCTTCTCAACAGCCAGGATGTAGGCGGCAGTTCTGAAATCTAGACCAAGTCCATAGCGGTCAGCGATTTCCATAATTTGATTGGCAGCCCGCTCCATTGTGAACTCAAGCCCAGAGTTGACAATATCTAGTTCTGAGGCACCGTCCATGCGATCTGCCAACTCCTTGGATGGACAAACCTGTTTCCCAACAGCGGATCCAACCGAGCCTACAAGAAAGTTAATAACATTAGAATTTGACAAAACAAGCATCAAACAACCATCAAAATGTTACTAACGGAGAAGGCACATGTTGTTTTCCCTCTCGTGTTTAAAGTTGAGGCGGCCGTAGCTGACATGATTCAAATTCTTGAGCCATTCAAAGTAGGAGACAGTGACGCCACCAGCGTTCATATAGAGATCCGGAATGATCATGACATTGCGTTTAAGAAGTTCCCTGTGAGCATAAAAAGAAGTGGGACCGTTGGCGCCTTCAGCGACTACTTTTGCCTTGATCTTGTCGACGTTCTTAGCGGTGATCTGCTTCTGCAGGGCGGCGGGTATGAGTACGTCGCACTGCATACACATTAGTTCATCGCGGTCAACTTCCTTAGCGTTGGGGAAGCCTTTTAAGCCATTGTGGGCCTTAAAAGAAAGCAATATTACTTCAAAGGGGACAAAATGTGATTACGAAAGAAAGGAGATTTGATAGGTCACCTTTTTGTAATCCAAGAGCTCCTTAAAATTGATGCCATCAGGATTGTAAAGAGCGGTGTCGATTTCGATCATGCCAATAACCTTGCCACCAGCCTCTTCTAGGAACTGGAAAGAGTACATGCCAACATTGCCAAAACCTTGGATGATGAAGGTCTTGCCAGCAATGCCAGGCTTGTTCAGACCACAGGCCTTGCAGTTCTTTTCAGAGGCAAGGAAGTTCTTTATTCCAAAGAAGAGACCCTAAAAACAGAAAGTAAGGCATTTTTATCACAGCCCTTTTCGTGAAAAATCATAAGAAGAAAAAAAAACAATTACTAGGCCAGTAGCAGCTGTGCGACCCTCGACGCCGCCGTACTGAACAGGCTTGCCGGTAACACAACCAAGCGCATTCAAGTCTCCAAACCCGATAGTATTGGCATAGGTATCGGCAATCCAAGCCATCTCCTTTTCACCAGTACCAACGTCAGGGGCGGGCACATCGGAGCATGGCCCGATGAAATTCTTTTTGGCCAACTCTAGGGCGAAGCGACGGCAAATTCTCTCGAGCTCGCCATTAGAGTATTTTGATGGATTGATCTTTACTGCAGCTTTGGCACCACCGAAGGGAACATCAACAACACTACATTTGTAGGTCATTAGGCTGGCAAGGGCCATGACTTCGCCCATATCCACAGCTGGTGAGAAACGAATACCGCCTTTGCAAGGAGTAATGTGATGGGAGTGTTGAGCACGCCAGCCTTGAATCATTTCATACTCCCCACTGTCCATTTTCACAGGAAAGTTGAACTCAAGGATATCATCGCAGGGTTTTATGGACTTCAATATACCCTTGATCAAGTGTTCCTTCTCGGTGGAAGAACCATTGAATGGCATTTCAGCAATGAGTTTTTTCTCAACATGCGCCATTGCTTCGTCAACAAACAGACCAACCATCTCGTAGAATGGTGGCTCAACAACATCGCACGGTGCCATTTTCTAAGATGCTCACAAGGCTGGAGACCCATTGATGTGCAACCAATTTATAGTCAAGCCTCTTTGAGGTTAAAAATGTTCAAGGTCATATATCTATCATTGGATGTGATAAAACACGGTTTTTCTTTATGGATATTTCAGCATTTATATAAAGTAACTAAATTAAATAGTAGAAAACTTAACAAACCCAATGTGGAATCAGATTTGTCTTTGAATTTGTAAGCGACTGTCAGAAACGCCGGTAACTTACATGGCACACCCAAAAGGCTAGATTTATTATTTATACCCTAGCACATAAAAAAATATATCGACATGCATGGTGCCAAGCACGTAAATCAACATAGGTAAAAGCGGCATGAAGAAGGATAACTGCAACCTGCAATAGAGTGTGAAATATTTCGGATTCAGACGCAGAATAACTTTACCTAGCATTACTGGTCACAACCTAGTATTATCTAACTAATTTCAGACAAGATTTTACTTGGTAGCAGTCTTATGAACTAAAACCGATTGCAAATAAGAACATAAAAAACCAAGGATTTAATTTAACGCGATCTTACTTTGCTGCTGTTTGGCCCCTACTCAAAAGACCTATCTAGTATACCAGTTACTGCATAAAATGAGAAGTAATATGAAGCCTCCACAGCATATTTCGAAATCATGGCTAGCTGAATATACATAATAACAGACAGATAACCTATTTTAACGGTAATTTTTTTTTCTGCAGTTTATCACTTGCACCAAATATAAGTCTAATTACATTTTATGTTCGCTAGAACCAAAATTCTTGCAACAATTTTGTTATGTAATGAAGAAAGCTATAACGGTTATGTCTAAATGCCACAGGATGCTTATTGCATTTCATGAAAACGCCCATTGCAAAAGAGAAGAAATTGACTGCAAACTTAAAGGAAATGCTAGTCAATGTCTATGTTTTCATGGGTCATTTTAAAATTATGCATGCTTTTTTGATCAAACCCCAATGTCATCACGGAAAATCTTCTGTGCGATTTTGTCACAAGTTTACTCATTCGAATGAGTAAATTGTGTTTTTCCGAAAAAAAAAGTCAAGATAGGGCCCTCAAATGTCGACTTAGTCTCTGTGCGACTTGTCAATTAAATAGATTACTTGTGGCTGCCTATTCCCTTTTATTAATAAAATCTCATCCACCATGTTGGCATCAAAATAAGAGCGGGTAGTGAGGACTGACCTTCATCAAGTCTGCTGATGTATTCAAAAAAACATTCTTAACCCCATTTTGCCACTTCATCATAGTTTACATGGACGACTAAGATAAAACGCTCCTGCCTGCATTTCCTTCCTTCTACTCGGATATTTTTACATTGGCTAGCTCACCCGAACTCGACTGGTCAACCGCCTTAATTTTTCAAGTAAATCCAGAGCACGTTTGAGACTATTAAGTATACGCGGTTTTGAATGCACACACACACTCACGCACACACACACACAACAGAGCTGAGTCATTTAATAAGCTGTTGTTTCCGTCATTTTCGGCTATTCGCAAAGTTTAATGTTGCTCATACAATTGAACAAACCTGGGGTGGTTCGAAACCACAAAGTTTCCCATTAACTTCAGTTAGGTAAATTTTCTGGTTCCGATGTTTGATTAGAAAGGTTAAGTTTTAGCAATTGCATCAAATAGTAAATATAACAACAAAATCATGGGAGAATTCAACACTCATAAATTTGCAGGGGTGGTTTATGTCCACGTGTCTATCTGAAAAGTCAAGCCTCTCTAGTCTCTGTCGATTTCAGTAGTTCTTTGATGATTCCAATATTCCTTCTTCGGTCCCCGACTTTACGCTTGATGGCTTGCCCGTGCAAGCAGAATCAGGCTCTGTTGCCTTGATATAAAGAAATGGCTTGAGTTGGAGACTCTTGGGCCGTTTTCAGTTCAATGCTACTTTAAATGCTTCTTCGATTGCCTTAATACAGAGAATGGGAGACTAAAATTGAGCACAAGTCCTGAGAGGGTCATGCTTTAACAACTACAACGATTTGATGCCACAACTGGGTATTTATTTCCGAAATTCCACAGGTCAAAGAAAAATATTGTTTAGGAAATCATAGTAGTCGACTTTCTACAAGCTTGTGCTCTTTTTGCAATAAATTCAACCAGCGTAATTTCAACCGTGCGAAACGTAGTCTTCGCCCTGTCAGTAGGGTATTGTTTGCGAGGTAATAGAGAGTGTCTACGAACTAGCTGTTCTACGAGGGGTACGGAAGTGTTCAGATCGGGGTGATTTAAGCGAATCTGCGGAAAGGTGAATAGAGGAGACTGATAAAGCAGTCATAACGTGATCGTAATCTCAATCGGCGACTTATTCCATCGCTTAAGAATAGTAAACTCGAGATATTCCTGCTTGCGGCCTCCACATGGATGAGGTCTAGCATCACTATTCTACAGGGTTCTGGACTACACTTACTTGAAGACGTCCGTCCGACGCCCAAATCGTCCCTGCTCAAAGTCACTTTGATTGACTTAAAACAGTTCAAGAGAAACTGCAATCAAATCTAACAAGACAATAGTTCAGGGTGTGTCCCATGTAAATAAAAGTCATAGTCTAAACATGTGGTTAGCTGGTTTTTTGAGCCGTCGCCAGTTTTTTTCAGTGCTAATGAGAGCCAAAATATTTTGGCAAATGAAAAAATTGCATTTTTTTTGGCTTACTGGCGTCATGCTACGAAACAAGTACATTTGGCTACCTCTATAATGGAACAAGATAATTGTACTCCACAAATGTCAGAGAACACATCATAGAGAATGTTCGAAGTCTTAGTGAAGGAAAAATCTAACCGAAAACAGTAAAGCCTGTTTGGATTGTGCACCGCTCAAAGTTGTTACCAGAGGAAGAATTTCAGTCCACTTTTTCCTGTGGATAACTCAAGGATCTTTGGACTAGGGTACAGTAGCCTTCTGATTCAAGCGTCCTACATCGCAGCGTCTGCCCGTCCACCTCCAACCACGCAGGCCGCTGCTTTGCCTCGAGGCTGCTGATTGCAGGCAAACTAACCCGTTTGCGCCCAGTCTTCGTTCGTTGATAGCTCCTAAAAGTTGAATTATTTGATAGAAGCCCATAAATGTACCTCAAGTCTTTGGTTCCAAACTTTATTTGGTTTCCAGGAAAGAACCTACGGCAAATGTTGTCACGTATCTGTTCTCTAACTAGCAGAGCTATCAACTGGCTACAGTGGAAGCCGTAAAAAAGACCTTACTTCAATTGAATGAGTTTGTAAGGAAGGCGAGCAGAAGAAAGTCAGTCAACAAAACCGGCGTTTTCAATAAAACATGCTTTGATGTGTAGCACACAGTCAGCGATTTTATCAACTTGACTGTCAACAGATATTAAAAAACGATGCTGTCACATAGCCACACAAGTCACAAACCAAACCCCTTGTGTTGAAAGTTTATCCACAGATTTCAGCTACAACGAAAGACCAAAACTTTGTGCATTTTGGCTGCTGGAAAGTTGCAATAAGCACCAAGACTGCTTTCTCTCAAATTGCACTGTATCGCTTCCCTGCACAGACCTGCTTTGCTAAAATATTTACCACAAGTTCTCCAGACACCCCATTGAAGATGACGTTAGATATGTTGTTTAAGTGTTGGTGGCACCACGAGGGTACGGTTTGTGGCGTGCATGTAGTTGTTTGACACACCTAATACGCGACCACACCAAATTGAAATCCGTACTGTAAAGGAGAAGGCTGGTGGTGGTAATTTCCGGAATCTAAACGAAGCTCTCCGACACACCGGCCACGCCCGTTTGCTTTTAACTTGACCATTAATATTTAAAAAAAATGCATTATCATGTAGGCAGATGCAAATAAATCCACTTAGAACTGTCATGAGCAATCTTGGCTCAGATTTTGGGGTGCTTTTGTTTAAATTATTGGTTGGTGTTTTAGTTAATGATGCTTAAAATACCAAAAAAACGCTCACACAACGCATCGTAATTTGACAGCTCTACTAACTTCAACAATTCACAACCAACGATGGAGGTACTCTGAATCATTGAAGTTCAGCAACACAGCATTTTAACCAAATAAAAGCAACCAATCATCAAAATAACAAAAATTTATAAACGGTAAAGCTACAAACAACATTGCAAATTTTGTACATAAATCAACAAACACAAAGTTGGTAGTGCGGTACCAAATTCGTTACTAAACGGTTTGTGGTTTAGCGTTGAGAATCTTATAAAGTGAAACCGCAATGCCTTTTTCCACTGACTGATTTGGTTCTTTGCCCACTTTCTTAAAATCACCAAATTGTGAAAAGTTCAGCTACTAGTTCCATAGAGGCGTCTTTGATTCCATCTACTCCAACACACAGGCCTCTAGTTCAGTGGTGCCTCGACTTTCATTGCGTTTGTTAAACCCCCCCCCACATGTTTTACACTTTCTCTTCTGTGTGTCAACTAAAGTCAGGGTCATCTAAAGACAGATTTCGTTAGGAAACAGGCAAATGTTTGGTGAAGAGTGCTACAAGGTGAAAACCTACATGGACAGAAACCAGTTAAATTCTCTAAAGACAAAAAGCACATTAGACGGGTGGCTGCACTGCCTGTCGGGTGTGGCAGTAAAAACCCATCGAGAGAGCCCCGTAAACCGATAAGTGAGTCCAGGCATTTTGGTGTGTGATCCACCCAGGCCTCTTTAATAGCCACCCAGCCTCAACACAGCTTGGCTTCTGGAGGCATGCGTGAAATTGGTAAATAAACTGTCTTCTTAGAAAACACCTCATTCCCCTTCTAAGGGTGCGCTGTCGGCCTGAGTGCGTGCGCTCAAATAATGTTTGATTGACATTGCCTCGTTTAATTTTAGATTGTGTGGATTCAGGTCAAAAGTTCTGCTTGTTTGAAGATTCTTTCAGAGCTATTTGCCCTACTTTTTCGCCAGCACCATTATTACGCTTACCTATAATCGACGAACGTGGTCTTAGTGCTCAATGAAATAGCATTTTTTAAGCCTCTAAATTATATTTAATAGATTTAATTGTTGCAACCTCAGGGAATTTCTAACGAAGTGGATATATGGTTATAACAAAAGCAGGACTTCGAATTCGGCTTAAATGCATGAAACACACTTCAAGATTGCTTGCGTAATTATGATTGTCCTTTAGATTTCAAGAAACAGAAGTATAATGCTAATTAGCCCAGTTACTATTAAAAAAAACTGAATGATTAAAAAATTAGTATTTGTGCTTCTCTCGATTCCTGTCACACCTAGGATTAAAAATCACTTCGTCAGAGACTGATTATGCATTTGGATTGATTTATCAAATTTTAACTGTGAAAATTACTCCTGATAGTCTAACCGAAACAAAAAATAATTCAATGTAGCAGACCATCAGGAGCATGCTCAATAAACAAGGGAACTGAAATGGGAATAACGATCGGAACAACTCTGAGAATCTGATTTGTGGCCCGTAAAGTTGTGACTTCTCGATTTTGGCCGGGCGACCCTGCCTGCATCTGACCGACTGCCAAGGAGAGCTGATGCGTCCGCAGTCCCTTTCACCGGAAAGCGCTCTCCAGAAGTTGTGTTGGTCACTACTTTATACTTTAATGACCTGCTGGCCTCACATCTGACGGTTCACTTCATAGTATCAGTCATTCACTTGGTGCAGTCACATACTGATCACCCGAATAGTCACATAATCTCCCAACAGCATGTAAGTAGAAATCTTTTTTGGTTCTGACTGTCAATGCATAAACTACACCACAGATTAGACACTGTACTCTAACTCAACGTAGGAAAAAATCTTGTTTATATAAAACAATATTTTCTATAAATCCAAACTAGCAATTAAATGGTTGCAATTACTTCCGGAATCTAAAATTTCACTACCCATAAAGATCGCATTCTAGTTCGATGTTATCATTGGTTTCTTTGACATTTCTTTGACATTATTTTTCATAACCGCCGTATAAATTTGTCATTTGGCATATCTGATGGTTCAAAAGAAATAAAACCACATCCACTGTTTACGTGATTTCCAGTCTCGCATCTCGAAAAGCAGGCAAAGCAAGCGAATATTATTTTCCACTGGCAAGCCGTCATGTCACAATAACCTGTTCTACGTCATCGACATCTTAATTAGCAAATTGTTTACAGGGCGGATCTGCCTGATCGGTAGTTGGGGTACAATGGTTTGTTGACTGGGCAGAGACAGCCGTTAACCGTTTATAGTATTACCCTGATAACAAAAAGAATTTTGCATATCCATTTTACGGAAAAAAATGCATAATTATTAAGGCATTTACCAAAATAAAAGAATCCGCTGATTGGCTCAAGACGCTGATGTTTGAGTACGGCCGTTTAAAAAAAATGCTATCGAGCTACGTGTGGAAAAGGTCTTGTAGATTTGCCCAAATAACTTTTCAGTCTCAATTTAAAACTTTCAGGGGCTTTGTCTGCATCCACTCTTGTGCAGCATACTGTAGCATCGTATCGTTGCAGCAAGTGGATGAGACGTGCTGCAACATCATTGGTTTCACTCTCAACCAAGATCTTAGAACAGAATAACAAAGGCAATGCAGGTTTTTTTTAAACCACATATGATTGCTTGGTTGCAGACTTTTGTAAATTAACCGCATTGTTCGTAACTTAAATCAGGAGTCTTCCATTAAGTGCCTCATCTTTGGCTATTAGCAGTCGCAGTTTCTCATATGACAGTAAGGAAGCATGTTGAAAGTGCACAATTACATTGAATGAGATTGTACTGGTCAGTTTCGTACGGAAAAGATTTGTACTTAAATACCTTGGAGTAGCGATATGTTCAAGAAAAATAGATAAGTGAAATGAAACTGCGTCGATTACGTATCGAGGTTGAATAAAGACCAACACAGCAATAATTTTTACATGTTTGGTTCCTAGTCATGAAGTTTTTTAAAATGAAACATCTCTCGAGAGGCAATCTAAGGAAGAAAACGCCAAATAATCATTCAAGAAAGCACACTTCTGTGAGTAATCAAGCATAAACGGTATTTCTGTCTTTGAAAAACTACTAAATTTTATTATGTTACTATCACATTAAGAAACCAGTTTCATAAT